AGGCTTTATTTTTTTTTTTTAGCTGCCATCTTAAATCCTTTGAGGAAAAAAAGAATCAAGTTGCTACTCCTGCTAACCTTGAGTGTTGATGGTTACTATATGGTTTCTCAAAATATTAAAGAGATCTTCAGAGATCTAGTTGTTTAAAAACCATACAAACACAAACACACAAAACACAACACAACACAAACACAAAGCCATCACAAAAAAGCTTGCCTGTCTTTGTTGTTTCCAGAATCAGAACTAAAGCTAATCTACTCTTTGTTCCTGCTTCCAAAATAAAAAAAAACACACACACACCGTTGCCAGCCTTTGGAGTGAAGACCACAATTGCCAGCTCTTACCCGGCAGTGAGAGCTAAGTTTGTGTGTTAACCCCCTATCCTTGACTTATGACCAACAGTTGGAACCAGGATTTCTATTGCTTAAAAAGGTGGCTGTTCAATGAGTGACGCCCAATTTTTATGATCTTTTTTTGCCATGGTTGCTAAGTGAATCAGTGCAGTTATGTAAATAGACAGTCTTTAAGTAAATCCAGCTTTCCCCATTGAAAGGACTTTGGCTGGGCAGGTCACAAATGGTGATCAAATGATTGCAGGACACGGCAGCTATTCTTACTAGATGCGGGTTGCCAAGGGCCCAAATTCTTATTGCACGGGGTTGCTGCAATGTTTTTTTTTTCCAGTGCCGTTTTACCTTCAGATAGTCACTAAACGGACGGTTGTAAGTTGAGGACTACCTGTAACCCCTCTTTGTTTCTTTTTCTGCCTTTGCTGAGGTCTGCTCCAACCTGCACTGCCGAAAATTGACATCCTGGGTTCCTTCCATTTTGAATTGTTCAAAGCAAAAGCTTAAAATAGACTGAACCCAGCTAAACAAAGACTCATGCGCGTGCACACACACACACACACACACACACACACACACACACACACATATACGGAAAACCCAGAGGGGGAAAAACAGCACAAAGTTTTGACCTGCCTCTCTTGCATCACTGGTCCTGCCCACTCACAGCCCTTGCCTTCCCAAAAAATGTTGATTGGCTTCTAGCCATCAAAAGCCACCTCTTACACGGATTGTAGCCGGTTGTACTTTGTGTAGCGCTATTCCTTGTCCATGGGGCTGCTCCTGCCCTCTCCTCTGGAAAGGGAAATTCCAGCGTTTACACCAAGAAAGCTAGACTTTGCCATTGGCCCCCATGTATTTGCCTGCATTTGCAAATGAAACAGACATTTAAAATGTCTTCAGCTTTTTACCCTTCAGAGATTAAAAGCTGTAATTGTAGCTCAGCGTTGATAAAAATCTCTCCCAAACCCATAGATGCAGCAGCACCCAAAACAGGGGAGACACCCTGTTACAGAGGTGTGCCACTCCTTAAACCAGCCAGAACCAAGGGATTAAACAAAGAACATCATCTTGCAAAATTTTGATGTGCAGGAGAGATAACGTTTGTTTTGACCTGATATCCAATATCCAAGGAGGGTGCTGTGAATTTTTTTTCCCCTTTGGCAAGAAGACACAGAAATGTAGTTTCCCATCAACTGGGAACTTGCAAGCCTCTCTCTCTATCCTTGAGGTCTAGAAAGTTGAGCTATAAAACAGGAAACAGCATTTCCCATTAAAGGTTGGTGTCCTCAGCTTTGTCTTTAGGCATTTGTGTATTTTGGTAGTTAAAGCTGGATGGGAAGCTATTAGTGGAACTGATACCAGCTGCACCAAGGGCAATTACCTTGACATGGTGGGAGGATTCAGAAGCTCCAATGAACCTCAGAGCAGCGTTGATGGGAACCATTGATAGAATCACTCTTGCCAATGGGGTGAAAAAAAGAGGAGAATCGAGAGATCATTACTCAAACCTGATTGGATGAGGGCAACAGTGCTCTCGGAGATTTAGCCACTGTGCTTTTGGGTCTTGCGTCAGCTATAATCCCAAGGTGGGGAAGGAAGAGTGGTGATAATCTTCAAAAGAAGTTTGGTGACTTCTTCAGAGGAGGTGGGTTGCGATTGCCAAAATGTGGACTGGAGAGACCTGCTAGGCGCATGGATGTCAAACTCACCGTATCACGTTGCCGCCATGTGATGTTTCACAACATCTTTCCCATTCGCGGAGCTGGGATGGCCGTGGCCTGCGCGTCACGCATCTCACCCATGGGCTGCCAGTTTGACACCCTTGTGACTAGGGATTCTGCCTATAGAACGGGTGTCCAACCTTGGCAACTGTAAGACTGGTGGACTTCAACTCTCAGAATTCCTCAGCTAGTTCTGGGAGTTGAAGTCTACCACTCTTAAAATTGCCAAGGTTGGACACCCCTGCTGTAGAAGATAACATCCATCTTTCCTCAACTCCTGAGCCTCAATTCAAGGCTGGTTTTGAAGTTTCCTGATTTAAAGTTGGGGGCGGGGATCTTAATCTCCATGCCTTTATGTAGCATCCTGAGAAAACTTAGGAATTCAGCTTCCATGACAGCCATAAACTTATCCCAGATAATATTGTCTTCTCCTCAGAGCAATTGGTGGATGGTCTGAATTTGGAGGACATTTCAATGAGTCTTTTGCGATAGTTGGATCCCTTCCTGGTTCACCTAAGATTAGTCGCTATCCCCAACTCCAGCAGGATAGAAGGACCCATTAAAAGTTGGCTTGCTCCAGGAGCTGAATGGATCTGAGTAGATCCCCACAAGTGCTGGAGAGTTCCTAGCAATTTGGGAGAGAGGTCTAAGCACTTGGTCCAGCTCTGAAATATGGAAGTGACCACAGTGCTTTTAAGGTTGTTCTTTTTCCTGATCCTGAGGAACATCTGGAGATGAAGTAGCAAAAAGAGACAACAAGCATTGTTGGAGGAAAACCAGAAGGAAACATGTATGAACTCACGCTTGAGTGTCTACTCTGGCAATAAAGGTGGTGAAGCTTGTATTTCTCGGCTGGGTTGGTAAATTGTGCCCCAGTAGCTTGTTGGGAGTAACTACGCTGTGTTGTGTAGTTGGAGTCAGGAAGATCTCCCAATAAGATCTTTGTGAAGTTTTATGGAAACATTTTGCAATGTTGCCCAAGTGTCAACTCAACATGGGTTGCATTGGTGGAGATGAGTAAGTTCTCACCAGAAAGCTCATCCTCATAAAAGCTAATAGATTGCTTCCATTGGACTTTATTGAATAATTCACAACTGGCTGGGTTCACACAGCTCCCTGTGTTTCCAGTAGTTTGCAAAGCACACACACCCACACACCCATTATGTACAGGAAGTCCTTGACTTACAACCATTCATTTAGTGACTGTTCAGAATTACAATGGCACTGAAAAAAATGACTTATGAACATTTTTTCACAAGCCCATTGTAGCGTCCCCAAGGTTACATGATCAAAATTGGGACACCTGTCAGCTGGCATGTATTTATGATGGTTGCAGAGTCACCTTCTGTCAAACCTGGGGAAGGCAGATTTGCATAACAATCATCATGTTACTAATTTAACAACTGGAGTGCTTCACTTAACAACTGTGCCAAGAAAGGTCGTAAAATGGGACAAAAACTCATTTGACAATTATCTTGCTTAGCAAGAGAAACATTGGACTCTACTGGGGTCGTAAGTCAAGGACTACCGATATTGTGCATTGAGTAAATGCTAGAGTCAACGCTGCATAATTCTCATTGCTTAATCCACAGGCAGTGTTTTACTCTGAGGGGCTTCTGATGAATGAATGATCTATATGTTTGGGAGAGAGTATTTTCTTTTCAGTGGATCAGTTGATAACAGGGAATAGAGAGCAAATATAGAGTTCTGTGTTTACCAAGTTACCTGTCAGCTTAAGCCACTTTTCTCAATTGGGAATCCTCCTTGGTTTGTTGAGACTTCATGGCTGATGGATGGAGACGATGGGAAGCAAAGAGTTCTAAAACACTTGCAGGAATCTTAATCTGTCAGGCTGGATCAAGCAGTTGGCTTTAAATTTGCTAATCAGTCCTAACATGATTCTCTTTTTAACATGCTTTCATATGTAAAGAAGATCTCTTATCAGTTTTTAAATGCGGTACTCATTTTGGGCATAGGGAAGGAATCTCTTGAATTTACAGGTAGTCCTCGACTTACAACAGTTCATTTAGTGACCGTTCAAAATTACAGCGGCCCTGAAAAATGTGACTTGTGACCATTTTCACAGTTGCGACCTTTGTAGCATTTCCATGATCCTGTGATCAAAATTCAGACGCTTGGCAACTGGTTCATATTTATGACTGTTGCTGTGTCCCGAGGTCACTTTTTGCGACCTTCGGATGAGCAAAGTCAACAGAGAAGCCAGATTCATTTTAACAACTGGTTTACTAACTTATCAACTGCAGTGATTCGCTTAACAACTGTGGCAAGAAAGCCCCGTAAAATGAGGCGAAACTCGCAACAAACATCTCACTTAACAACCAAAATTTGGGGCTCAATTGTGGTCGTAAGTTGAGGACTACCTGTAGAACTGTCTCATTATTCAGCTTTCATGAAATGGAAAGATGGAATATAAGGATTTTAAATCAAGGTTTCCTAACTTTGGTGACTTTTAAGACGTGTGGATCTCAACTCCCAGAATTCTGGGAGATGAAGTCCACACGTCTTTTTTTTTTTTTTTAATTTGATTTATATGCCGCCCTTCTCCGGAGACTCAGGGCGGCTTACAATGTGTTAAGCAATAGCCTTCATACTTCTGTATATTTATACAAAGTCAGCTTATTGCCCCCACAAACTGGGTCCTCATTTAACCTACCTTAGAAAGGATGGAAGGCTGAGTCAACCTTGAGCCTGGTAAGATTCGAACCTGCAGAAATTGCAGGCAGCTGTGTTAATAACAGGGTGCATTAAACCACTGTACTACCAAGGCTCCTTAAAGTCTTAAAGTTGCCAAGAGTGAGAAGTCCTGCTTGAAATAAAGGAAGCAGGCCTTCCTTTGAAAAACCAAAAAGAAGCAAATGAAACATAATATAACTTGGAAAAAGTTAAATTCTGCCTCTTTTCCTCCCAGGTGTATCCACCCAACTCAGGTGACGAATACAGCAGGGACTCAGCCAACTACGCACCTTCCAAGCCTCCCAGCACCGTTTACCCTGGAGCCTTCTACATGCCAGGTAGGTAACCTAAAGAATTCAACTTTAGTAGCCATCACCAACTTATATATAGGCTTGGGGATGTGGGCGTTTGACCAATTCTCTGCGATGGCCATGCTGACTGAGGAATTTTGAGACTTGTGGTTGGTAGCTCTGGGGAGTGCTGGTTGGAGAAAGCTGGACTTTGGGGGAAATGGGGTGGGTTGAAATTTTTTGTTATATGTCAGCAGTTGTTGCCATTACAGGTAGTCCTCGACTTAATGACCACAATTGAGCCCCGAATTTCCATTGTTAAGATAGACACTTGTTAAATGAGTTTTGCCCTGCTTTTACGACTTTTTCTTGCCACAGTTGTTAAGTGAACCACTGCAGTTAAGTTAGTGACACGATTGTTAAGTGTATCTGGATTGACTTGGCTTGTCAGAAGGTCGCAAAGGGTGACCGCATGATCCTGTAACCGTCATAAATACATGCCAGTTGCCAAGCATCCAAATTTTGATCGTGTGACTACAAGAAGTCGCTGCAACGGAGTCATAACTCTGAAAAACAGTGCTAAGTCACTTTGGGGGGGGGGGGGCGTTTTGCTGCCGGTCACTAAAAGAATTGTTTGTAGAGATTCTCAGTCATCCAGGTCAGGGTTGTTCCAAAGGTGTTTTTTTCAGGAGGCAACTGGACTTTCTTGTTTTTTCTTTGAAGACATTTCGCTTCTCATCCAAGAAGCTTCTTCAGCTCTGACAGCGGGGAATGGAAGGATTTATATTCCTTGTTGTTATGAATTATTCCTTGCAGACAATTGCCAGCTGTCTGCAAGGAATACAAATCCTTCCATTCCCCACCATCCAGTCAGAGCTGAAGAATCTTCTTGGATGAGAAGTGAAACGTCTTCAAAGAAAAAACATGAAAGTCCAGTTGCCTCCTGAAAAAGCACTTTGGAGATAAAAGAATGGTTATTAGCCGAGGACTACTGTACATGCAATATCTCATAGTATTACAGATATCATACTTAAAAATAAATAATTAAAATGACTGCAGGCGAATTCTAAGAGTTGGCAGTCCAGCATGACTGAAGGGTTTCAGACTGGGGAAGTCTTTCTTAAGGACTTCTGGTGGGAAAAAGGATGTTGGACTGTTCTTTTGGCTTCCTGGCATTTGAAAAACTTACTTTGGGCTTTGAGGTCTCAAGTGCCTGCCTATCCAAATGTAGATTTACAGATTTCCAGTTATGAAACCTTCTCCTACTTTGTGAGGGTGTGAAGCGGGATGGGCAGCCAGCTCTTCCACCCAATTGTGTCTGATTCTTCTCTTTCTGTCTTGCAGATGGGCTTCACAATTCGGCAGATCTGTGGAGTTCTTCCAGCAGCATGAGCCAGTCGAATTATGGGGCCATCTTGGGCGCTTCTTCCTCCCCGCTTCCCCAGTCTAGCAACTTCAGCAATCTTCACCAGCATGAACGCATGGTAATAAAACCTGGGTCTCTGGTGTGCTTGTGAGTACGTGTAGAAATTGGAAGATTCTGTACAGGTAGTCCTCGACTTACAACCATTTGTTTAGTGCACACATACAGCAATCTCCCCGCTATTCCGTGTCAAATTCTGCCTTGCATTGTCCAGTACCATGAATCTATTTTAAATTGTTTTTAAATCAAGAAAACCATTGACTTTATCATCAGTTGTACTCTTGATTTTATATTTCTTCCCCTTGATAAAATTCTAATATTTATTTATTTATTTATTTATTGCTATTTATATGCCGCCTTTCTCCCTAGGGACTCAAGGCGGCTTATAAAGTGACAACTTCAATACAAATCACAATACAATACCAAATTAAAATCAGTAACCCAATTAAAAAACGATTTAAAATTATACCAGTGTACCCCCAAACGGATCAGTTTAATTGGCGGAAGAGCCACGTCTTCAGCTCGCGACGGAAGGAAAGAAGGTCGGGGGCTGTCCTGAGCTCAGTGGGCAATCCATTCCAGAGGGTTGGGGCTCCCACAGAGAATGCCCTCCCCCTGGGGGTCATCAGCTGACATTGTTTGGCCGATGGCACCCTGAGGAGGCCGACTCTGTGAGAGCGCACAGGACGATGGGAGAACGGCTGGAGATGGTCCTGCAAGTACCCCGGGCCTAAGCCATGAATATCTGACTGTAGGTTATCCATCTATCCTTATCTATTATTTCTTGTCTATAAAATGCTTCTCTGTTTTGAAAGCCCTAACAGTGTTTTCAGGCACAACCTGATTTGGTATCTATTCCATATTCTTAATGTGACAAGTCTCACATAACAATTTTTGAAATCTACACTAACTTTGACTTCATTGTACCACGAGTATCCATGCCACCCACAGATCAGGTAATGTTCTTCTAACTCTAAAAGTCTTTTATTTCTCACATACATCCATTCTTTCATCCAAGGTAAACAATAAACTGCAAATTAAAATTTCAGATCAGGTCAACCCAAGTCCTTCTCTTTCCTTTACAGCTTGATAAAATCTTACATTTAACTCTTGGCTTTTTCCTTTGCCATACAAACTTAGATATATCTTTTGACCATTGTTTAAATGGTACTTCAGTTGTCAAAACAAGTATTGTGTGAAACAGAAACATCATTCTAGACAAGGCATTCATCTTTATCGCAGAAATTCTTCCCAATAGTGACACATGTTGTTTCTACCATCTTAGCTTGTCTTTTTAAATTTCATTCCATGTCTTCACATAATTGCTTTGAAATAACATATAATTCATATTTGTCACCCAAATATTTTACTTCTTTCTCAATCTTTAAACCAGTTTTCTCTATCAGTTCTGTTTGATCCTATATTTTCATATTTTTTATTTACATTTTCATCCTTCTGGCTATTAAATCTTAAAATCTACTATCGTAGTTGTAAGTTCCAGATTACTCCAGACCAGTGGTGAAATCCATTTTTTTTTTACTACCGGTTCTGTGGGCGTGGCTTGGTGGGCATGGTGTGGCTTGGTGGGTATGGCAGGGGAAGGATATTGCAAAATCTCCATTCCCACCCCACTCCAGGGGAAGGATACTGCAAAATCCCCATTCCCACCCTACTTGGGGCCAGCCAGAGGTGATATTTGCCGGTTCTCCGAGCTACTCAAAATTTCTGCTACTAGTTCTCCAGAACCTGTCAAAACCTGCTGGATTTCATCCCTGTTCCAGACGTCTTCTTTCAGGGGGAAATGCCATGTGATGCAGAGTCAAGGGGAGCAAATTACTTCTGTATAAACAAGAACTTCATCTTGTTAGTTCCAAAGGTCCTTTTCCCTTGGTGTTTTGTTTTGTTTTCTTTGAAAACATTTCACTTCTCATCCAAGAAGCTTCTTCAGTTCTAACTGAACTAAGTTAGAATTGAAAAAAACTTCCTGGATGAAAAGCAAAACATTTTCAAGGGGGAAAAAAAAACAAGAAAGTCTATTTGCCTTTTGTAAAAAGCACTTCTGTGACAATCCCCATAGGCATTCATTTAGGTTTTTTAAAACTTTTATTTATTTCATTTATAATACTTTCCATCTCCATCAAACAGTGTGTGAGCTGGATACAGTTATTTGAAAATTCATAGTTCACATACTTGTTATTATATTCATTACAATGACATTGATAATGTAACTCTATATCATGATAATTTACAGTAGTACATAACATCATCAAAAGCTTCTGTCCACAGTAACATTTTCTCTTCTTATATCTCCTCTTTCCTAACTTCTGTTTCTACTCTCTAGCCATCCCACACCAGAAAATATTCAGTCTCTTCTCTGTCCTTAATAATAAGCATTAATCTGTCCATTTCTGCGCATTCATCTTGTTAAGAGTTCAACTTCAGGGCTTTTTTTTTTTTTTGCAAAAAGATCATAAAATGGGGCAAAACTCTCTTTAACAACTGCCTTGTTTAACAACAGAAATGTTGGGCCCAGTTGTGGTTGTAAGTCGAGGACTACCTGTACTACTTTCCTGAGGTTCACATTAAGAGTAGAAAGAGTAAATCCTGAAGCTTTTATCTCCTAAAATTCTAAAGTGAGTCTGAAAGGAGAAATGTAATGGAAGATCCCCATTGTGTATCCCTCTTCCTCCCTTTGTAAATGCCTTTCTTTGTTCCCTTCTAGAATTATCAGATGCATTCGGGCGAAGTCAACGGTGGACTCCCATCCGTCCCTGGATTTTCTTCAGCCTCCACTCAGTATGGAGTGTCCAGCCACACTCCCCCGATTGGTGGGACAGAAAATGTCATGGGTAAGTATTTGGTCTTTTTTCTCCAAAACCATGGAAACACATTTAAGTGCTTTCTTTCTTTCTTTCTTTTTTTCATTTTAAGGGTTGAGCTACCATAGGAATTTACAAAGTTTGAGAATCCAAATTGGTTGTTGTTGTTAGTTGCGAAGTTGTGTCCGACCCATCGCAACCACATGGACAACGTTCCTCCAAGCCTTCCTGTCCTCTACCATCCTCTGGAGTCCATTTAAGCTCACGCCTACTGCTTCAGTGACTCCATCCAGCCACCTCGTTCTCTGTCCTCCCATTCTTCTTTTACCCTCAATCTTTCCCTGCATTAGGCTCTTCTGCATTGAGTCCTTCCTTCTCATTAGGTGGCCAGAGTATTTGAGTTTCATATCCAAATTGGAGAGATTAGATATTTTCAAGATCAAATAGCTTGCAAAAAAACCCCCAACCCTTCCTCCCCATTTCTCTGATCTAAGTCGAAGAGTTATTTATAAAATATTTATTGATTCTGTTTTAATTTTATGTCAGACAGAGAGAGAAGGGTCAAAATAGTAGCCGCAGCTACAACATCTTGACATTGTGAACATGTGGTCACAAAACGTATGATTGAAAGCAGTAGTTCCAATAAGATTAAAATAATAGAATAACAGAATAACAGAATAACAGAGTTGGAAGGGACCTTGGAAGTCTTCTAGTACACCCCCTCCCTGCTCAGGCAGGAAACCCTACACCACTTCAGACAAATGGTTATCCAACCTCTTCTTAAAAACTCCCCAGTGTTGGAGCATTCACAACTTCTGGGAGGCAAATTGTTCCACTGCTTAATTGTTCTAACTGTCAGGAAATTTCTCCTTAGTTCTAAGTTGCTTCTCTCCTTGATTAGTTTCCATCTGTTGCTTCTTGTTCTACCTTCAGGTGCTTTGGAGAATAGATTGACCCCCTCTTCTTTGTGGCAACCCCTGAGATATTCGAATACTGTGAGACTGTTGAAGAAATTTCAAGCACTTGGGTGGATTTTAGACTTAGAAGCATGCTATGGGGCACCAACTATGGTGGAAGGGAGAAGAATGGGGCAGAAATAACTCTGGACGTGTCTGCTTTCTAATCATACACCCACATAACCTGCTTTGGGTGCACTGCCACTCTTCTAATGCAAATTCCTCCCCTTCTCGTGTCTTCCTGGCACATGAAGGTTAATCCCTCAAGAGTGGCTTTGGGCCAGGGGAGCCCAGCAGACGGAAATAGATCTATTTAGCTTTAAGCTCCTGTCTGGGGGACGTACTTAGTAATGTCTCCCCTTTTTGACAGCCAGACATAGAATCTTCATCCGTCACACGTTTATTACATATAGACTTGAAGACTTGTTCTTAATCCTCCTGCCCTCCCCTCACACTGCTGCTTGGGGAGGGGAGGAAAGAGACTAAATGTCACCTCGATTCATCTGCCAGATCCCTCAAAATGGTTGGAAGTGGAGGTTGCCTTTACTTTACTTACTTAAGGAAGGGGCCCATTTTTAATTTAATCAACTTCAGCCATAGAGGCCCAACAAATCCTAGAGGCACCCAAGTGAGACAAAATACAGCAGTGCCTGGGAGCTGCTGTTATAAACAAGGATTAGAAAGGGGGGGATAATGCGGATCAGGGAAGAAGAGACCGGGTGATTTAGATCCATTGGGAAAACGCTGGGGGCTGACGCTGAATCCAGCCTTCCAGTCACCTCATTCTCATGTGAACCTGTTACAAATCTTTTCTCTTAGTGTTTTTAAATTAATAAAATGAACAATTTTATAATGGTTAATAATTATTAATATTATATTATTATTGTTAATATTATTGATAATTATTTTATTAACAATTAATGAAAGGGGCAGGCCATGAGTTCGAGTCCCACCTTAGCCACAAAAGGTGGCTGGGTGGCTTTGGGCCCGTCACTCTCTCTCAGCCCAACCTACTTCACAGGGTGGTTGTTGTGGAGAAAATAGGGGGAGCAAGTTTTACTGGATATGTTTGCTGCCTTGAGTTATTTGTAAATATAATAAAGGTGGGATACAAATAACTTATTTCCCTGCAATTAAGAAAAATTAAATAAAGACTGCAATCCCTTTGAAAGGGCCTCTAATTCCTTCTATAGATTTGGGGAAAGTGGTTGGTGGTGGAAATAAAGTCACTGGGAGGTTGACTGATCAGTTTCCCCAGAAAAGGGATTTAGCCCCGAGTGTTAAGTCACCAGATATCATCAGCCCCTCTTCATGGACACATCCTCCCCCCCCCCCCCCCGGTCACAAAATCTGAGTGTAAAGGGGCCAGTCAGAGTCTCAGATCCCGTCCCTGTAGAGGAAAGAGGTGTTTTAGCCAAGGAACAGGAAAAAACACATCTCACTCATGTTTTCCTAAGCATTTGCATTCATCCCATCCCCAAAGACAGATGGGGGACGGACATTCTATGGATTTAATGTCGTAGCTGTTCCTTTGGGTACCATTGCTTTGTTCTGTTTGATTTATAATGGGTTCTATTTTAATGTGATTTTTTTTCTCCTGTTACTAGTCACTTTGAGCCTGGCTTGAGTGCATTGTAACTGGATGAAATAAATAAAATGTGAATTCCCTGGGTTTGGACAAAGTGTTTCCATGTTTCTAACACTTTGTCCCAAGTTTTGGATAACATGAGACATTTGAATGTTCCTTGTATAAAAATGGGGAACTTGGAACATGTTTTGGCTCTTAGCTTTATTTCCTATAGTCATAATGTTTGGGAGGTGGTAGTCAAAGCTACATAACACCCAACCTATAAACAATTGGAATACAGTAATATTTTTTTAAGTTAAAATTCCCAGCAGGAGCAACCATTAAGCCAAAATGCTTTTTTTTTTGTATCCTAATTGAATAATAACAGAATAACAGAGTTGGAAGGGACCTTGGAGGTCTTCTAGTCCATCCTCCTGCTCAAGCAGGAAACCCTCTACCATTTCAGACAAATGTTGTCCAATCTGTTTTTAAAAACCTCCTTTGTTGGATCACCCACAACTTCTAGAGGCAAGCTGTTCCACTGACTAATTGTTGTCATGGGCAGGAAATTTCTCCCTGGTTCTAGATTGGTTCTAACCTTGATAAATTAAAAATAATTTCTTTGGTAAGTTGGATGATAAGTAGCACATATCATGGATGACCATGTATGTCGTCATGCCTCCAGTAAAGAATGGGTGATCAAGAGACTTCTGCATGCAGAATACTCAATATGTTTCTAATACCAACAAAACAAACATATTCAAGAAGTTTTTACAGAGACTTTCCAACGGGAATTATTATTATTATTGTTGTTGTTTATATTTATATACCACCCTTCTCCCGAAGGACTCGGGGCGGTGAACAGCCAACAGATAAAACACAAGAAATACAAAATTTTAAAACAATATTAAAATCCAATTAAATTAATTTGGCCCACAATTAAAAACACCCCTGTATTAAGACCCATAAACAAGTTAAAAATTAAAACAATTTTAAAAAGTTAGGCCAGCCCGGCTTGCTGGAATAAAAACGTCTTTAGGGAACGGTGAAAGGTGCGAAGATCCAGGATCCGCCGTATCTCCGGGGGCAGCTCATTCCAGAGGGTAGGTGCCCCCACAGAGAAGGCTCTCCCTCTGGGGGCCGCCAGTCGACATAGTTTGACCGACGGCACCCTGAGGAGCCCCTCTCTGTGGGAGCGTACTGGTCGGTGGGAGGCTATCGGTGGCAGAAGGCGGTCTCGTAAATATCCGGGTCCTAAGCCATGGAGCGCTCTAAAGGTGGTAACCAATACCTTGAAGCGCACCTGGAAGACCACCGGGAGCCAGTGCAGCTCGCGCAGGAGAGGTGTTACATGGGAGTGCCGAGTCGCCCCCATAACCACCTGTGCGGCCACATTCTGGACCAGCTGGAGCCTCCAGGTGCTCCTCAAGGGGAGCCCCATGTAGAGATCATTACAGTAGTCCAGGCGGGATGTGACGAGAGCATGAGTGACCGTCCGTAAGGCATCCCAATGTTCCAAACTCAGAATTTCTTGTGGTTGGTTCATTTGTAGTCCTAAAATTTCTGGGCTTGATATTCCATTTGTTTATTTGTCCTTCCTGATTTTAATCTTCTCTTCCTTCAGGCAATCGAGGAACCACCGCTGGCAGTTCAGGGGATGCACTTGGAAAAGCATTAGCTTCAGTAAGTCTCATTATGATTTCTCATTCTAATAACCTTTGATTTTTATCTGCTGACGCTTTGTACCATTGTTTATGGAAGACGTCCAAAACTAGCACAACGTAGATCTGTTGGAACTACAACTGTAAAGAACTGTTTGTTTATTATAGGCTGTCCTCAGCTTACAACCATTTCTTTAGTGACCATTCAAAGTTACAACTGCACAGAAAAAAGTGACTTATGACCAAGGGTGAAATGCTACCAGTTTGGACCGGTTCGGGCAAATCGGTAGTAAAAAAAAATGCTACCAGTTCGGACGAACCGGTATTTCCAAGATCAGCTGTGCCCCGCGATTTATATTCACTAGAAAGCAGGAAATCCTGCTTTCTAGAGAATCTAAATCACACGACACAGCTGTTCTTCCCCCCTTCCCCCCCCCCCCCTGTTCTGCTTACCTTAGAAAAGGCTTCTTAAGCTTTCTTTTTCAACGCTGCGCGATAGCGCCTGAGGTGCGCAAGCTTGCGTTTGGTGCGCACCGTGAATGCGTGTGTGCAGCAAACCGGTAGCAGGCCTCGGAGGATTTCACCACTGCTTATGACCCATCCTCGCACTTAATAAGTGTTTCAGCATCTCCATAGTCACAAGATCAGAATTCGGGCACTTGGCAACCAAGCATGTATGTACAAAGGTTGCAGCCTCCTGGGGTCACATGATCGCCATTTGTAACCTTCCCAGCCAGCTTCCGAGAAGCAAAGTCCAATGGGGGAAGCTGGATTCCCAAAGTCCATGGGGGAAGCTTAATGACCATGTGATTCACTTAACAACCGCCTTGTTTAGCAATGGAAATTCTGGTCCCAATTGTGGCAAACCTCAAGCAAAAAAAAGAGGACTTGGTTTTTCAGGAGTATTTAAGCATGATATTTTCCCCTCCGTTTCTTCTCCCAAACTTTTTTCTTTTTTCTTCCTCCCCAGATCTACTCTCCAGATCATTCTAGCAATAATTTCTCTTCGAACCCATCCACTCCGGTGGGCTCCCCTCAGGGAATAACAGGTAAGCTGTAAAATTTTGCCCATGTAAAAGCAGTATAAATCTAGAACAAGCAACAGTGTGCGGAAATCTCAGAGGAGAAGCTGGGATTGGCATTTCATCAGTGAGTTTTTCAAGATAAATGACACTTCTTATTCTGAACCTGTTCCAGTGTTAGCCCCGTGATCCAGTTTGGGGTAACATGCAGAATACGTGGTATCCGTGCAAACAATTCAGGTCCTCCGTCTGTATCTAATGCCTGGATTCAGCAAAATGAGGAAAGTATTCAGTTTTTGTAAGCTCGCCCCTTACAGCCTATTGAGCAAGGTCTACACCAGTGTTTTTCAAACTTGGCAACCTGAAGATGTAAGGACTTCAGCTCCCAGAATTCCCCATCCAGCATGACTGGCTGGGGAATTCTGGGATTTGAAGTCCACACATCTTCAGGTTGCCAAGTTTGAAAAACACTAGTATAGAGATTCACTCAATCAAACTTCTATATCCACCGAAGTCGGTCGCCAGTGGAATTCTTTCATTCCTCTTCTTTAAGACGTGAAAAATATGTCCTTTAATTCTTTTGCATGTGAACAGAACTCTGATGAAATAGGGGAATAATACAGAGAAGTACTTGTGGGTTTAACTAATGCTAATAGAAGGTTTTGCAGAAAGTGATTTAAAATACTTGGTTTTGTAAAGTAAAGGTAAAGGAGTCCCTTTAAAGGAGGTAAAGGATTTTACTCCACTAGTCATTACTTACTCTAGAGGGTGGTGCTCATATCTGTTTCAAGGCCATTGAGCCAGCGCTGTCTGAAGATATTTTTGCGGTCATCTGGCCAGCAGGACGTCACAGAGTGCTGTCATCTTGGTTTTGTACCAGACTGCAAAGTGTGATGTCGGAATACAGTTTTCTATATTGCATGTTTGCCTACTTCCAAAGACCTAAGGGAATGTGTAATAACTACAACAGAAGAATAAAATGCAAGTGAATTTTTCTTAAGACTACTAGCTATTGTTTGGCTGTGCACCGCCCTGAGTCCTTCGGGAGTAGGGCGGTATAGAAATCAAATCAAATCAAATCAAATCAAATCATAAAATAAAATAAAATAAAATAAAATAATAAAATAAAATAAAATAAAATAAAATAATAAAATAAATAAAATAAAATAAAATAAAATAAAATAAAATAAAATAAAATAAAATAAAATAAAATAAAATAAAATAATAAAATAAAATAAAATAAAATAAAATAAAATAAAATAAAATAAAATAAAATAAAATAAAATAATAAAATAAATAAAGGCAACCCTTTGACCACAAAATGTCCTGTTAACCTGAGATTGAGACAGCCTTAGTCTGAGATTTATTAAGGCTTAGCTGCACAGTTATGGCTCCAGGGTATATGTGTGAAATCAACAGATCTGAAGTTTGTGGGTTGTTGGCTCCACCTGCTGTCACATGGAAGAACTGCATGCAAACTCATGGCAAGTTGGGTTTCAAAAAATAATCCTCTTCACTAAGCAGTGTGGCTTGTAAAAACTGACCTGTACAAGGCTCCATCTTCTTTATCTTCTTCCCTGCCCAATTCATTATGTCCTGGCTTTTTAAATGATATATGAAAAGAAGATTACAATGCAATTTCTATCTATCTTCTAGGTAGAGGGGAAAAGCCATCATTAAAACATGAAATGCATTTCCAAGATGCGGTGGTGCTTCCTTGTTGGCATTTCTGGGACAGGGACGGAAGCGAGGACATTTCTAATGGAAGGAAAAGGCTATAACGCCGGTTCTCAAGCTCAGCAACTTTAAGATGTGTGGACTTCAACTTCCAGAATCCACCTTTAAATGGTGGTTTCGGGCGTTCTTTTTGGCAGCCCCTGGTAGCTACCTCTCCCTGGTGTTAGCTGACTCCTATACTTCTCAATGGGAGAGGGAGCTGACGAAGAAACTCCACCTGCTAGGTTTTTGGGGGGATGCATTGGGAGACTATGGCCTTAAGGACGCCCAATCTAGGGTAGTCCAACGTCTTGTGGACATAGACTTGCAATATCTAAGAGCTAGAGCTAATGAAACCTGCTCCCCTCTGATCTTCAGCCAATTTAACAATTATGGACTGAGGATGGCCTCATATTTTTATACTTTAACCATCCTTAAGTATAGAAGAGTCTTCTCCCTTGCTCGTTTCAACGTCTTGCCCTTAGCATTGCTGGACGGACGATTCAAGAGGCTCCCGATAAGTGAGCGGTTATGCCCCTGTGATAGAGCTGAGGTCGAAACTGTGGAGCATGTTCTTTTATACTGCCCTATGTATAACGCAGACAGGACTAAATTACTGTCTCTCTTAGAAACAGATCTCTTTGGATCCAGTGCCAATAATTTGACCTTATATTGTTTAAGCCAGGGGATGGCTCCTCACACATTACTATTCAGGTTTCTAAATTTTTCTTAAGAGCTGTAACTATTAGAGGAGAACGATGTAATTCCTCTCAGCCAAGGCTTCTGGTAGCTAACTGTTTATGATGTTACTTTCCCCACATTCTTTTGCAATTATATTTGTATTTTGGTCCGAGACCCGCAAATAAAAGTTATTATTATAACTTCCAGAATTACCCAGTCAGCATGCTGGTTGAGGAATTCTGGGAGTTGGAGTCCACACATTTTTAAATTCCCGAGTTTTAATAAAATTGGCTGTAAGGAGCGATGGATCCTGATGGAACTCCCGAAGTTCCATCTGGCTTTTGATGCGTCCTGGAAAGGTGGAGTAATTAGTGCTCCCAGAGTTTGCTTGGTTGTTTATTTGTTTGCAATGCACTGATGATGTTGCTTAGTTGGGTAATGAAATGTCTGGAAAAACAGCCCAGCTCTGAGAGCACCAAAAATTCCACAGTTCATCCCTAAACTACTTCTATCATCCCGAAAGTATTTCCTGGCAGTTGTGAAGAGAAAGGATGTCTTTGCTATCTATCTATCAGACGTATTTGTTAATGGGCAAAATGTCCCCTGCTGTTTTTCCTCTACTCAGGTTCTTCGCAGTGGCCCCGAACAAGTGGACAGGGTGCCTTATCTCCAAGCTACGAAGGCACCCTCCATACTTTGGTAAGTATCCCTCAACCTCATACTTGCCATTGGTTTTTGTGATAAATAATTACAAGTAGTCCTTGATTTACAACCATTCATTTACCAACCATTCAAAGTTACGATGGCACTGGAAAAAACAGCCTTTCCGTGGTGGTCATATCATCGGACTTTGGGTGCTTGGCAACCAGCTCACCTTTACAAAGGTTAGAGCATCCCAGGGTCTCGTGTGATCGCCATTTGCAATCTTCCCAGCTGGCAGGTCAATGAGGAAGCTGTCAGGAAAGGTCACAAGTCATGATCATTTAACCATATAATAACTTTGTTGCTTTATAATAAATTTTCCACTCCCAGTTGTAGTCATAAATCAAGAACTATCTATAAGTTCCTAGCAGATAGCAGTTGAAATGGCAACCTTAGTAGTACCGTGTTTCCCCGAAAATAAGACCCTGTCTTATATTTTTTTGAACCCTGAAATAAGCGCTTGGCCTTATTGCCATGCGCTCAAAAGCCCGATTGGGCTTATTATCAGGGGATGACTTATTTTGGGGGAAACAGGGTAGCATAGTTTTGATTGTCCACCAGCCTATTCTACATTGCTTGATAATATCCCCAAAGCTGCTTTCTTTTTAACCTTGGCTCTTCTGCCTGAAAAATCAGCCTAGCAATGGCCTACCTGATCAGGACTGTAAAGAAAGCCTCGTGTCCAATTTTCAAATGTTGTCTGTGTTTGCTTTTTGTTTTTAACTTCATGCTTGGTTTGGTGCCTGAATCGCAATTGTTGGCATGCACCTCCCCACCTCCCCACAGTGGCTATGGTGGGCTCCTGTTTCACATTCTTTCCCTCTCTTCCATCCTTCAAGCAAAACAAAATGGAAGACCACTTGGACGAAGCCATCCATGTGCTGAGGAGCCATGCAGTGGGCCAGACCAACCACAGGGACATTCACGACTTGTTGGCATCCGCTTCTGCGCACAGCACTTCTGTGGGCAGCCTTAGCCAGTCTTTCTCCCCGGCTTCTGTCTTGCCAATTGCTAGTCGGCATACGAACTTGGTAAGATAGGATTTGGGGGAGAGGGGAGAGGGCTGTGTTTCAGACATGCTCTACCATTCAAAATTTTATGGCTTCTCCTTCCAAGAAGCTCTTTAAAGGCCTATTTGCATAACTTGACTATTAATCCACCTGATCCAGGCATTTTGGTCCACGGTTCCTAGAATCCATTGACTTTAGACATACAGTTGGAGGTTGATGGGACTTGATTGGTCCAAAGCATCAGGAGAGCAGAAGTTCTCCACGAAGACAAATTCCTTGTGTGTCCAATCACACTTGGCCAATAAAAAAAAAAAAATTCTATTCTATTCTAATTCTATGACTAATCGAGCTTAGTATAACTAGCAATCAAAACCACCTTTTCCTTGTAGATGCTGGAGATTGGGGTTAGTCTCTTGTGTCCTCCACTGAACTCTGGGCTGTCCATGTTAAAAATCCTTCTTGCAGGCTGTGTAATGTTCTCCATATTCAAAAGTCCTACCAAATTTAGACCCTTTCTTTGTGGGCTGGGACTTTGTTGTACCAGTCGAGAGGCGGAAAGGAGAATATTCTATGATAAAAGGTCACGGCTGAGGGACAGAAGTCAGCGTATCTTGAGATCAAAAGGCAGTTTCCAATGGCCTCTACATTCAGCAATATAATTTTATCCAACTTTTCTCTTGACAGCTTTAGAGTTTCACAGCCGAGTGGGATTTTTCCTTCTTCCAAATTTGGGTTGCACCCTACAAAATGTCAAGGTGGTTATTCAGGGCTGGGTTATAGGAAACTGTCTAATCTGAAGTCTGGGTTTTTTTTTCCCAATCTCATCGGTCAAATCACCAGCTTTGCACTGATGTTGTTATTAATTTGGTAATGAAACCAAAACTGCAAGAAAGCCACCAAGCTCAGATAGCACCAAGGAACCCAAATATTGTGATATTGTAGAACTTGATTTATTTTTATTTTTCCATGAATCAACCTCTGCCTGTTTTTACATGCTTCATGACTCGCTCAAAATCAGGTGGAGCTTCAGTAACACCGCTGTAACGGTCATCCTGCCCTTTCCTAACCACGCCCTGCAGACACTTGATAGCAGTTGATAGTCAGAATGCGTATTTAGGATTCTATGAAAGGGCTGCTAGATCTAAAATTCCTATCTGTAGATCTGGTTTACACATCAGATTAAGTTCTAATACAGGCATACTGGGCAGCACAATGGTTCAGCCGTTAAGACGCTGGGCTTATCAGCTGGAAAACCAGCAGCCCATGTTCGAGCCCCGAGCACCACGCGATGGGGTGAGCTCCTCGTCCTTGCCCCAGCTCCTGCCAACCTAGCAGTTTGAAAGCATGCAAATGTGAGTAGATAAATAGGTACCAGTGGGAAGATAACAGCGCTCCATGATGTCATGCTGGCCACATGACTGCAGAAATGTCTTTGGACTTGAATCGGAGATGAACACTGCCTTCTATATTTGGCAACGATTAGGAGAGTAAAATCCGCAGAGACTCCCTTCCTATAGGCATACTGGATTAATGGCTTAGCGTTACGTTCAAACCTGAATTGTATTGTTTGATTACTCCCCCGGAGTAGCTCCCACCGGAGATACGGAGGATTCCGGATCTGCGCACCTTCCGTCGCGCGCTTAAAACGTTTTTATTTCATCAAGCTGGCCTGGCCTAAATCTTCTCCCTTTTAAAACTTTTAAATTTAAATTTTAAACACTAATTTTAATTTGTTTAATTATGGGATATTTTTAAAATTTAGCCAAATTGTTTAATCTGTTTTAATCTATTTTAAATTTTGTATCTCTGTGTTTTATCTTTTGGCTGTTCACCGCCCTGAGTCCTTCGGGAGAAGGGCGGTATAGAAATTTAATAAAATAAAATAAAATAAATAAATTAGCAACCAGTATTTAAAACAATCCTGGCATTATTATTAAATTTGTTCACCATTTCCTCTCGAGGCATTTGCTGTGGTTAACTAATGAAAACTGAGGCTTTAAAAGAGGGGCTGATATGCCCACTTTCAAAGTTCTACGCTTGCTCACTAAGCGCTGCCAAAGGCAGTGTTTCTCAACCTTGGGGACTTCAAAATGTGTGGACTTCAACTCCCAGAATTCCCCAGTTCAGCATCACTGACATATTGGCCTCTCTGGACCTTGTTGCTGTTCTTTTTGGCAGGTGGGGGGAGGTCACCCTGAAGACGGCCTCTCTAACAATCCTGGTCTTCTCCACAACCATGTTGCTCTCCCTGCCCAGACCAGCTCGCTTCCTGACCTCAGCAGAGGACAGTCTTCAGATGCCTTTAGTGGTAAGGCTGAGTTGCACAATTTGAATGCTGAATCTCAAAACCCCCCGTCTCTTGGCTGGTGCAAGGTAGGGTACCGGACAAGTGAGATATTGAAACTCTTGCAAAATTACAGTCGATATTTTCCCTTTATAATTAAAGGAAAGGAACCAAAGTAAATGGACTCTTCTCCATGAGACTAATCCTCCCTCTTCGTGTCTATGGAGATTCTCAGTCAATCCATGTTTTTGTCCCAAAGATGCTTTTTTCAGTTCTGACTGTCAGAATTGAAGAAGTTTCTTGAATGAGAAGCAAAATGTCGTCAAGGAAAAACCTTTTGACAAAAAAACCCCCCAAAACCTTTGGGATCTCTCTCTTCATGTGAATTTGCAACTTAGAATCAAAAATAATTTCATTAATTATTATTTTAGAGGTTTTAGTTTTAGATTTTTTTTTATCCTGCCTTTATTATTTTTATAAATTACACAAGGCAGTGAACATAAGTATTATTTCTTCCTCCTATTTTTCCCCACAACAACAACCATGTGAGGTGACTTGGGCTGAGAGAGAGTCCAAAGTCATCCCGCTGGCTTTCGTGCTTAAGGCGGGACCAGAACTCACAGTCCCCTGGTGATTGGCCCAGCTGGCTTTCATGCCTAAAGTGGGATTAGAACTCATAAATCTCCTGGTGATTGGCCCAAAGTCATCCAGCCAGCTTTCACACCTAAGGCGGGACTAGAACCCACAGCTTTCTGGTTTCTAGTCTGCTGCCTTAAGTACAATCATGCTGAAGATTTCAACTTACAACTTTTACAATCTTACAACTGGTAAGATCCCACAGAGTTGGTCTCCTCAGGGTCCCGTCAGCTAAACAATGCCGGCTGGCGGACCCGCGGGGGAGGGCCTTCTTTGTGGCTGCCCCAGCTCTCTGGAACCACTTATCTCCTGAGGTCCGGACCACCCCCACCCTATTGGCCTTCCGAAAAGCGGTGAAGACCTGGCTCTTCCGGCGGGCCTTGGGCCGTTGATCTCGCTGCTGCGATTTGGCGAGATCCAGCCATGAATGGTGTGAATGGGTTTTAATTGTTTTTAATGGTTTAACTTTTAATGTTTTATATATGGTTTTTAAATGCATTGTAAGCCGCCTTGAGTCTTCGGAAAAAGGCGGCATACAAGTTGAACAAATAAATAAACTCAGGTTATAGGTGAGGAGAAAGGATGATTTTCCTACGTTTCTCACTTTATCCTTGGGTCAACCTTCTACTTGGTTTGGTCCCATTGCAGGCTTGACTGGGGGCCTGGGAAGGGCCAGCGTCTCATCTGGCACCAGCGAGATCAAGCGGGAGGACAAGGAGGATGACGAAAACACGTCAGTGGCTGACAATTCAGAAGAGGAGAAAAAGGAACTGAAGCCATCTCGAACCAGAACAAGGTGCTCACTGAACAGGTCTCAACCTTTCTCTGTTCCCTTTGGAGGCTAACCGGGCAGGACAAAATCCTGACCCTGTAAAGGAAGCCTAAGGCAAAACAGCCTCCTCCAAAAACTTTTCAAGCTTAGAGAGAATCCACCCACTGTTTTCAAACCTCTAGGAACCTACTACAAATATTAAAGGGCCAACTTTTTCGCAAGACTGGGGCAGGTTGCCTTGTTGGAGAAATGGATCAGGAAGAACCTCCATCTAATTTTTATTCATTTTATTTAGTAAATTTAGAAGCCATCCATCTCCCTCACAGAGGAGGGATTTTCCACTCAGGCAATTCCTTTGGCTGGCTAATTGAAAGAAGATAAAATATATTGGTGGTGGGTTTTTTTTCTCCCCCAAATTAATTTTAATTTTATTCGGTGCATGAATATTTTCAAATTTTGCTACTTTTCCCTGAGAAATTGTGGAGAAGCAGAAGCACCCTATCGAGACAACTTGACTTATAGCTTTTGGTTCTATTTGTCTTCCCTGATCCTTTGTCTCCCCGCCCGCCATTTCCCTGCAAAGGTCCTGAGTAGAAGAGAAAGGCATGGCTTACTTCCTTGAGTCTCTCTTTTTATCTCACACAAATGTGAAAATGTGCTCTAGGACAGCCTGACAATCTAGGACAAATTTTATTTAGCGAATATGGCTCCATTCAAAACATTCCGGGGTTGGGGGCCCTGTCAGGCATTCCTGTAGTAAATATTGACCAATGATGGCAAAATAGATTAATTTCTACTTTTCCTTTTCAAATATCTTTTTTTAAAAAAAAAAAACACCATTGTGATATGTTTGTTTTCTGTCGTGTGTGCATGTAGGGGTGCGCACATGTGTGTATTATATGTATTACAGTTTTCCTTTTTTTTTTTGTGAACATATTCCGGTGCCGAGGTGTGCACACACGAAAAATGTCCCCCCTTCTCCTTGTTTCATTCTTATTTCAAATTATCAGTCAAGATGAGGATGAGGAGGACGACCTTCTTCCCCCAGAGCAAAAAGCCGAGCGAGAGAAAGAGAGGCGGGTGGCCAATAACGCTCGGGAGCGCCTGAGGGTCCGCGACATCAACGAGGCCTTTAAAGAGCTTGGGCGCATGTGCCAGCTACACCTTAACAGCGAAAAACCACAGACCAAACTGCTAATCCTACATCAGGCTGTGTCGGTTATTCTGAATCTGGAACAACAAGTTAGAGGTCAGTGGAGGCTTCCGATGTGGTGACGTTTCGGAACGGCATGGGGCTGTCTGTCTGATCCTTTCAACCTTGCCCCCGGCCCACCGTGGTGGGCAGGCCTGCCCGACGCTCTCCATCCTGCTGACGTTTTCCTGCATCCTTTTTTTTTTTTTTTTAATGACGATGCCTTAAGTTTGGTTTTGTGTTTTACTTCTCTGTTCCATTTTGTTTTTTGTTCTGTTTTGCATCCCCTGTAATTCCTGTGTTGCATTTGGAATAAGAAAAGAAGCTGCACTTTCTGCATGCCAGCCAGCCTCGTGCCTGTGCGGGGACTCTGCTTCTCTCTCCCTCCTTCCCTTCTCTGCTACTTAGCGCTGTAGAGGGCGGCCCACCTTGGACCTCAGCGCTTTGTTGCTAAATATGGGGAAAGGGCAGCGTCTGCAAAGACCAAGACTCTCGTGCATACTGAGGATGAGTTCACAGCAAAATCATGTATACCATATTCTTCTTATTGATTGGAACGCCCTTTCCGGCCCCAGCCTCCTAGAACATTTTCGTACATGCCTCTTAAGTATAGATAGTCCTCGACTTACAAACATTCATTTAGCGACCATTACAACGACACTGAAAAAAGCATCTTACGACCACGTTTCACATTAACAACTGGTGCAGCATCCCCATGGTCATGTGATCAAAACGCAGACGTTTGGCCATGGGCATGTATTTATGACGGTCGCAGCAGTATTGGGTTTCAAATCCCGTCGCTACTTCTGCGCATGCGCAGAGACATCCGGGTGGGTGGGCAGAGCCTCCCGCCGCTACCGATTCGCCCGAACCGGTAGCAACCCACCACTGGGTCGCAGTGTCCTGGGGTCATGTGATCACCTTTTGCGACCTTCGGACAAGCAAAGTCATTGGGGAAGCCAGATTCACTTAACAACTGCCGTCATTTCTTTAACAACTGTGCCAAGAAAAGTCATAAAATGGGGCAAAATTTTACAACAAATTTTACAACAAACGTCTCCCTTAGCAACATAAATTTTGGGCCCAACTGTGCTCGTAAGTCAAGGGGTACCTGTAATAAAATGTAGATTTAGGGTTTGGGAAATCCTCGACGCTGAAAAGAAATGGTACCATGTCTTCAAGGTTACTACCTCTGCTTCCCCATTCGAGACCTTTTTTTGGTGGGACCATTTCTCATCCTGTGAGGAAAATTCCCTGTGGAAAATACATTACCGTAAACCCCTCTGCCTAGAATAGTCTCAAGGCACACGTGTAGCCTGTGGTGTAGCTCTTCAGAGTGTTTCTCTCTCTCTCTGCCCATCACCAGGAATGACTGAATTTTGACCATGAGTGATACCTTGACAAGCAGGTATACAAGGAGAATAGGGAACATAACACCTGATGGACACATTTGTGTCCGAGCTTGTGGTAGTTTTAAGATCTGGGACCAGCAACTTGAACCAGCGAAAGATGTTCAGAGGACCTGGGATTTTACTTACATCGAAATGTGTGAGGTTCTGACTATGAAGGTCATTTTCTGTCTATAACCCAAGTCTTCCAGTTGGGTCCCGTAGTCCCAGATCCCAACTTAAACCTCAGAAGTCATCCCTGCAAAGGTAGAATTCAAGGATTACCGTTAGGATTCTAGGATGCAGAATGTCCTGGAGGGAGGAAGGAAGGAAGAAGAGGGAAAGGACATTTGAAATGGGTCTCTGTGGCTACCCTAGAGGAGAAAGACAGACTCCCACCCAATGTAGTTGTGCTAATTTTTTTTTCCTTCTGGGAATGCTGCAAATGCTTGGCTCTGCATGTGAGCATCTAACCTTCCTTTCTTTGGAAACCCATCCCGTGGGGTTACCTTGGCAGATTTGACTCTTTTCCTCAAGAGAGGCGGCTGCATTTACCGTCAAGATCCACAGCCTGTTTTGTACTCTGCTGTCATGTTGCAATGCTGGAATTCATTTATGCTTTTCTCTCTCTCTTTTTCTCTCTTTCACTTTTCGTTTCCCTTTTTTTGCCTGTCATAACATGTATATAACTTTGATTTCCTTGTCCAACGTTTTCTTGTTCTTCTCCCCTTCTCCCCCAATCCTTTTACCTGCTTTCCTACAGACAGTCCCCAGCCGTGACCTCTCGGTGGTTCCCACCCTCTACCTTGTACTTGCTGCTTGCTCAGAGAGAGAGAGAGAGAGAGAGAGAAAGGAAAAACAGGAGTGGGGAGGTGGGTTGGTACAGGGAGCAGGAAAGGAACAATCTGTGAGCAGAAGAGTTGGCGCGTGGTCCTCTCATCTGGAGTTCAGGCTCTCAGTTTTCGGTTTAAAAAAAAATACATAGCATTTTACCTGAGGTAGAAGATGAGCGAAGTTTTGCCTTGACTGGTGAGCAGTTGGCATTCTTGCGTTTAATCCCCCTGGGGAAAAAAAATACTTTCCAATTGGATATCTTTGTTGGAGTCCTTGCTTCTTCCTGAACTGGCTTGTTTTCTTGCAGATACTCCATTAACCAACTAGGTAAGATCAGTGCTAGCCCTTCCCTAGTTACCTAATTGGGTACTGTAATGTCAGCAAGAACGCAGCTCAGAGGACACGCAAGGACCCCGCAGTTCAACCCTGAATGTCAAATATTCTCTTCTATGGCTATTTTTGATCCCTTGGACATTTTTATCAGAGAGCTTAAGAAGAGACACCATCCATAAGATGAGCTTCATATTTCTGAGAGTTGACATCTATCATCCTAGAAAAGGCAGCCCATAGCATTTTTCAGCAGTGAAGATTGAAGTTAGAACGGGACCCTCACTAAATGCAAGCTTCTACTTCTTCTAGTACCTTGGATGCGTTTTCTGTAGGGCTTTCTCTTCTCCCTTTCAATCCCACCAGTTACGAATTTATTTAAGAAGGTATTACGTTGCTATCCTTTTGAGAGCGTGGTACTTTATTTTATAAAGGCCAAAAACTCTGTGGAACATCTAGCTGGTGTTAATCGGGCAGCACTTACAACTGATAGCTATTCTCAATACTCTGCTAAAGTTTAAATTTGCTTTGGGATTGCACAGGATTATTATAGCACAGGAACGGTCTGGATTCCTTCTGTGACAGGAGCTACTGAGCCGAAGGGCTAAATGCAACCCCAAGAGTTTGGATATAGCTTCAGTTTTGGTTGCTATAATCCTCAACTTATATTTCTTCAATTCATAGTTAGCTATTACAGTTCCTGTTGGGTGTGGGTATCTAGGTTTTAGTTTTAAACTGAATTTGACAATCCTTTGAATAATTATGAATTTAAAATGTGAACTTGGCTTGGAAATATGTCCTGTTGCATTTAATGAGGCTTGCTTGTCAGCTGTATTGATAACTCACACGCAGGTGTAGCAAAGTGGCTTGGCTTCCACTTAATCATGGTTATTATTGGAAAAATAACAATCAACTTGGTTTAATTTCAAATTTGGTTACTTCTACCATTGCTTAGTTTGTTGTGGCCAGAGTTTGCTTGGATAATTTGTAGTTCAGTGTATAAGGTGTTAATTCTGGGAGAATGGCTTTAATTCTGTAACTCAGAGAAGTAAACTCTGTGAATCCATACCTTGCCTGAATTTTGAAGACATAACAGAAAGAGACGGCACTTAAGTGAGCCCTACATTTTTTTAGCCACAATTTTTAAAGCCATGGGATCAAAAATTCATTCTGGATTTAGGCTGAGTTCCCAGACAAGATCGTAGGAGAATCCAGACTGAAAGTGAAGCTTACACCAAAGAGTCATTTTTCAGAATGCAGCTTCCCAAGTAGTGAATCACTGAAAAGATAAAGTCATTGAGAAGTTTGTCTTGGATGGTTCTGGAGATGAAAAATCAAGAGGTAACAACAGAGATTGAATATTTTTCTGCCTTGCCCTTGGTAGTTTAGGACAATGTTTCTCAACTGTGGCCATTTTAAGAGGTCTGGACTTCAACTCTTCAGCTGAAGTTGGTACAGACCTCTTAAAGTGGCTAAATTGAGAAACACTGGTTTAGGTACAGAGGTCTTCAAACTTGGCAGCTTTAAGACTTGTGGACTTCAACCCCCAGAATTCTCCAGCCAGCTATGCTGGCTGGAGAATTCTGGGAGTTGGAAGTCCACAAGTCTTAAAGCTGCCAAGTTTGAAGACCTCTGCTTTAGGAGGTTGGACATGAAGAGCACACTAAAATACATCTTACTTTGTCTTGCTAGTTGGATAAGAAAAAGGTTGCTTAATTCCAAGCTACACAGGCCCTAGAATTGTGCCTTCACACACTATTTCAGTAGGAAATCATTTCCAGTGGAAAATGGTTGCCCCGTGTCCTCAATTCATTGGAGACATCTACTATGCCTTGTCAAAAGAAGGCAATTATATCTACCTTTTCAAGGATTTTTTCTTCTTCTTTATTTTTATTTTATTTTATTTTTTTTGCTCTGGGGGAAAAAGGCTGTCTCCCTGTATAAAAACAGGATGTGACTGGGCGTCATGGGAGAGAAAAGGATTTCCTAGGTTCAAACTGCCAAGAGTTTAAGATGCTGCCAATGCTCATAATTATTTTAGACAGAATCAATTTTGATGCTGTGTTTGATTATACCTAGAAGCTACAGTATTTTGCCTGATTGGGTGGCTTGGGGGAAGATGGGAATCAGAGAAGTAGGCTCTTCTTTTTTTAGATGGAGATCTTTCCAGAGCTGGTACAGATAGTCCTCGAATTACAACCATTCTTTTAACAACTGTTCGAAGTTATGACGGGGCTGAAAAAAAAGCTATTTGTGACCAGTTCTCACCCTTACGACCTTCACCGTGTTCCTACGGTCATGTGATCTAAATTTGGGCACTTGGCAACTGATATATATTTACAGCAGCTGTAGCATCCTAGGGTTATGTGGTCAGGAGGGGAACTCGGGTTCCCTGAAACAACGGTGTGATTCATTTAATGAGTTGAGCGGTCATAAAATTGGATGTGACTCATTTAACGAGTGGCTTTGCTTATTTCTGCTGCATAGGATCCCATTCGTGGCAAGTGTTAGGAAGCCACTTTACAAAGCCAGTTGCGAGTTGTGGCTTCTGTTTTCTATTCTCCAATGACCCTCTTTCTGTAAAAGAAGGAGTGGCAGAATCGGGGGATGGAATCAAAAGAGGACTCAGCCTAGAGTCTCTTAAGAAGCCACAAATGGGTGAAGTCTCACCCCTCTTGAATTAAGTTAACCTTTACCTGACACCAAAATAATGCTGTTAGTTAGATTCCCATGGATTTGTTGTTGTTAGTTGCGAAGTCATGTCCAACCCATCGTGACCCCATGGACAACGTTCCTCCAGGCCTTCCTGTCCTCTACCATCCTCTGGAGTCCATTTAAGCTCACACCTGCTGCTTCAGTGACTCCATCCAGCCACCTTGTTCTCTGCCGTCCCCTTCTTCTTTTGCCCTCCATCTTTCCCAGCATTGGGCTCTTCTCCAATGAGTCCTTCCTTCTCATTAGGTGGCCAAAGTATTTGAGTTTCATCTTCAGGATCTGGCCTTCTAAAGAGCAGTCAGAGTTGATCTCCTCTAGGACTGACCAATTTGATCGCCTTGCATAATCACTTTAAATTAAAACATCACCTGTGATCCTGGGTCTTTCCTGCCTGACACTTCCTTTCTGATCCTGTTTTCACGTCCATGTCAGCGCAATGTTTTTCCCATTAACTGAAGAAACTAGGAATCACTTAAGGCACTCAACAAATGAAGTTTTAAGTTCATAACGACGGGGTTCAGATTTCAGAAGAGAGGCCACGTTCAAACACACATTGGGCAACAATTCTGGAGAATCTTGACGTAATGAAGAGCATTTTGAAGAACGTGGACCAGATGTTTCTCTCTAATTCCTTCCCACCGGTTAGAGTAGCTCAATAAAAGTTGAACAGCCCGCCCTTTACGGTCATGAGGTAGGAGATGACCAGGCTGACCCCAAGGGTGTGGTCAAACACATCATCAGTTTGGAGGTACTACCCCCCCCAAAAGAGACCTAAGTTCAGCCCTCCTTGAAGTCCATTGACTCTTAATCTGGTGCCAATTTGCCTTGACCGTTAGTAGCTCAGATTATTGCATATAAATTGCACTGAATAAACTTGTAGTGCTTTTGAACTCTATCTTGGCTCCTGATTTCTTGCATCTTGACACATAAATGGTTATAAAATGGATCGATCACGTGACCAGCCTGAATTTAGGACTTTATTGTGGTGGTGATTCAGTTGTTAAGCAAGCCAGTGGTTCGCTTATGGGCATGGTTTTTCTGAAAACCAGTCGTATAAGTGCCGTGTTTGGGCAAAACCATCATAAAACGCAGTCGTGTGACTCCAGGACCCTGCAAATGGGTGACCGTGGAGGGAGGGCCTGACTTTTGGAACGTCAGATTTAGGTCGTAAGTCCCCTTTTTCGGGTTGGTTGTTAACTTCGATCAGTCGTAAGTCAAGGACTACCAGTGTGAGGGTCAATTTCCTGAGGACATTTTGGATGGGTGGGCTCATGGCAGGTGTTCAAGTGGCATCACAGACCCCTTGTTTTATTTTTGGTGAGGGGGGGGGGGTTACAACATCCTACACTCTTTGTGCTTAAATATGCGACTGTACTGCTACAAAACACAATCTGAGGGGGGCCCAGAAGCCATAAAATGGTATTGGGGCTCCAAGTTTACAGCCCGTTATTTTTAATGCTTAACTTGGATTTTACTTTTTTTTTTTTGCCCCTTCCTTTCTAAAAAAGCAGAGAGAAAGGCGTTGCAAGTCTTATTTTTAATTCCCTAAGGGAAAATAAAAACAAATACATGGACAATACCGATTCCTACTATCTAAGGCTTGAATCTTTACTATAGCAGTGGAGAATCTATTGTTCAGCCAGTCTTTGGGGAGGGGTTGGGGACGAAGTTCCCACTTTTGCGTTACTGATTGCTTTGTTGTTCGCAAACCGTGGGTCTCTCAACTTTGCAAAGGAGAGTCCTCACTTTAGCATCGAGCATTACTGGTTTCCTCTGATGAAGGAAGGAATTAATTTCATGTAAAAGTCTTCTGTTTCTTTAAACAGACCGTCTAGGAAATAAAGGGCAGAGGACTTTAATTCTGCCCCAGAGTCCTTGGCAGCTTCTTAGCTCTATGGTGCAATTCAAGGGTTCCCCTATGATCAATTGGCCTGGCCCGTCTTGGCTTGTAGTGGCCTCCTGTGGACATTTTTCCACCACACCTTGGCACCGTCCCCCTCTCTCTCCCCCCACCCCGATTCCCAAGTCACATTTTGCTCCCTGACTAACCCCTGTGGTGCTGTGTGAACCCAGCAGTACGGATGAGGCGCTATCCCTGGAGGACAAAGATCTGAGGGACCGGGAGAGGCGGATGGCCAATAATGCAAGGGAGAGGGTGCGCGTACGGGACATTAACGAGGCCTTTAAAGAGCTGGGACGCATGTGCCAGATGCACTTAAAAACAGACAAAGCACAGACCAAACTCATCATCCTTCAGCAAGCAGTACAAGTCATTCTAGGCTTGGAACAGCAAGTACGAGGTACGGCGCTAGGGGTGCCCCACCACCCTGAGGTCATTCTCTTGCATGGGTGGGAGGCTGTCTCTTTCCGGGATGTCCCCCCACGTGCCCTTCTTCGCATGAGTGTCTTCTATGCCTGTCCCTTCCATCCTTTGCTTGGGGCGCTAAGCGGAGCGGTTTTGGTTGCAACGTCGTCTTAGGTTTTGCTTTGCTTTATTGCTCTGTCGGCTGCACGTGGACCACGGCGGAAATGATCCTCAAAGGACTGAGGGTCATTCTGTGTCTAGAATGAAGGCCAAACGGCCCATGACTCTTCTGAGGTGGGAGTACGCCGAGTCTAAGCATATCAAGTTCGAACTTGCTATCCAGAGCAAGCTGTTGCCTGCTTACAGACTAGCTGATCACTAGGTGGCAGCAAAGCGTGAGAATTGTCTGGTTTCTCTTTGCTGCCATCTAGTGACCATCTGCCTTGAGAGCAGCCCAAAGTCTAGCTATCCAGCTAGCAGCCCAAGTGGCAGCCTTACTGCAGCTCCCCCAAACCCTGCTGTTTCCCTTGCTGGGATACTTTCTCTCACTTGAGCAGCATGTATATTCAGCCTCTGTTTTCCTACTCTTACGCTTCTTGGGGAGGACATCAGAAAGACCGTGGTCATTGCAAGATATTTTTACCCCCATCTAGGTTTTCTCCTCCTTCCCATGGCGCGTGTTTTTTTCTTCTCTTTCTCCCAGAACGCAATCTGAACCCTAAAGCAGCTTGCTTGAAACGTCGTGAAGAGGAGAAAGTGTCTGGCGTGGTGGGTGATCCCCAGATGGCACTTTCGGCATCTCATGCAGGCTTAGGAGATGGGCACAACCCCGTGGGACATATGTAAAGGTACTTTCTGCTGGGACTGGGATGGGGCTTTTCCTGAAAATGGAAGCATGCAGCTGAATGAATGAATGAATGAATGAATGAATGAATGAATGAATGAATATTTATTTGCCACCTGTCTTGCTACAGGTGACTCTATAACGTTAAAAACAATAAAACCATGAGAAAGAAATATTACTGATAACAGTACAAATACAAATTGTAATTAAAGATGGGGAGGGAAGGGGCAGGATGCGCAGGGGAGTGATATCTTCCATTGGTCCATCAACTACCTCCAGTGCGATATTCCCCCATTGGGGGCCCAATGAACTGGCAGAGGCAAGTCTCCAGACTTTTGCAGAAGGCCAGGAGGGTGGGAGCAGACCTCACTCTGGAAGGCAAGATGTTCCAGAGGGCAGGAGCCATGACAAGAAAAGGCTCTTCTCCTAGACCCTGCCAGCCAGAATTCCTTGACCGAGGGGGTGCATAGATAGCATGCCTCCTCTGCCAGCACAGGTGGGGCAGGCCAGTCCCATTGGGGTAAGACAGTCCCTCAGATAAGCTGGGGGAATGCATATGTACGTTCCTTTCACGTAAAGTTGCTCATGGCCTGATCTCTAATTGAGGGAGGAGGAAGAAGAGGCTAAAATCCACCAGGAATTTCTGCTATTGGACATCATTTCAATCAACAGAGAGAGGGTTTCCTCCAGGGAGGGTGGAACTGCAGAAATCTAAGCCAGCAGGACCACAAAGTCCACGGGAGGACCTTGCCACGTTCTCTTACTCATAGTTGCCTCACAGCATTGGAAAGCTTTACTTACCTTTGAAAATTTACAGTCTGCTTTTCTGTAGGGAAGTCCATGCATCTTAAAGTTGCCAAAGTTGGCAAACACAGGTTTAAATTAAATTAAAACAGAAGTTCTTCTCTAGGAATTAAAAAGAGAGACAGTTTGCTACAGTGGTTAAGGCACCAGGCCATAAAGCAGGAGAATGTGCATTCCAGTCTCATTTTAGGCATAAAAGCCAGCTGGGTGACTTTGGGCCAATCACCAAGAGGCTCTGAATTCTAGTCCCGCCTTAGGCATGAAAGCTGGCTGAGTGACTTTGGGCCAATCACCAAGAGACTCTGAATTCTAGTCCCGCCTTAGGCATGAAAGCTGGCTAAGTGACTTTGGGCCAATCACCAGGAGACTGTGAGTTCTAGTCCCACCTTAGGCATGAAAGCTGGCTGGGTGACTGGGCCAATCACCAAGAGACTCTGAATTCATGAAAGCTGGCTGGGTGACTTTGGGCCAATCACCAGGAGACTGTGAGTTCTAGTCCCACCTTAGGCATGAAAGCTGGCTGGGTGACTTTGGGCCAGTCACTCTCTCTCAACCCAACAGACCTCACAGGATTGTGAGGAAGGGGGAAAATAAGAGGAGGGATGCGCATTTGTTGCCTTGAGTTACTTGTAAAAATAAAAAGGCGGGACACAAATAAGTAAAATAATAAATAAATTACAGGTAGTCCTCCACTTACAACAGATTTTTTAGCGAACGTTCAAAGTTGCAATGGCAGTGAAAAAAGTGACATGATCGTTTTTCACAGTTATGACCATTGCTGTATCCCCACAGTCACGTGATCAAAATTCAGAAGCTTGTCAATTGACTCATATTTATGACGGTTGCAGTGTCCCAGGGTCATGTGATCCTTTCGTGATTTTCTTACAAGCCAAGTCAATGGGGAAAGCAGATTCCCTTAACAACCGTGAACAGCTGCAGGGATTCGTTTAACAACTGTGGCAAGAAAGGTCATAAAATGGGACAAAATTCACTTAACAGATGTTTCACTTAACAACAAAAAATTTGGGCTCAGTTGTAGTCTTAAGTTGAGGATTACCTGTAGCTGTTTCTGCTGTTTCTTACAAAGCGACCTGTGCAGAACATCAAGATTTCTATACCTTTTCCTCTGATTTCTTTACAGGTGATTTTTTTCCCCCTTGACCTGGAAGCAGATGTCTGTAGGAAGAAGTGAGGACTGGATCATTTTCACACCCCTGCTGGGTGTCCACGCCAGAAACTGCAGTCTTGTTGAAATACTGACATGGCAATGGAAATTCAGTGTGCTCGAAGGAACTTTTATTTCCCTCCACCAGAAAGGAAAAGCAACAACTTTATCCAAAAACAAAAAACAAAAAACCACAAAACACAAAAAACCCAACAGCAAAGATTGCCTTAACTGTATATTCTGGAACTCTTAATGCATATCCTTCAGTGGGAGGTGGGGGGAAACATTTAAGTGGCTTGTGTTCACAAAAGGCCAGCAGAAGAAATTGTGCCTATGCGTTTGTTTCTTTTCTTTTTTTTTCTTTTTTTTTTTAAAAAAAGAACATTAGTTACAATAATTTTTTAAATGTAGAACAAACATAGTAATGCCTTTTTTTTTTTGTTTTTTAAAGCTTCTTTTGCATCTCTGTTTTGTAAGCAACAACAAAAAAATGTAAAAAGAGAGAAAGAGAGAGAGAGAGAAAGAAAAAGACTTGATGATTCCCCATGCCTTTTTCTGCTGCTGTTTCTATAGTTAATGTTGCATATTATTTTTTAAATAAGATCAACCAGAAATATTAAAAGTTTGTATTAAGAGACTGGATGTTTTTTAAAAAGAAAAAAAAAAGAGAAAAACAAAAGAAGAGATTGGTACAAGAGAGATTTGCATTTTGGCTCGGAGAAAGTCACGTGCGTTTAGCGAGCGGGTTAATAAAATCTTCCCTAAGGCTAGTAGCTTTTATAATTAAGAGGAAAAAAAAGAGGGAGGAGAAAATACTGATTATCACCTCAATTCCTTTTTTTCGCTTGGAATATTGGAGGGTTGGAGGGGGAATGAATCCATCAGCTGCTACTCTTTGTGTCGTTGTGGCTTATGTCTTTCACCCAAAGGATGCAACTAGTTGCAATTCTTGGAAGCTTTCTGTTTGGTCTGGCCCTCTCCCATCTTCCCTGCCACTCAAAGTATTTCCAATCCCTTCTAACAAAAAAAAAAAAAGACAAAGAATGACACAAGGCATTTCTGAACATTGGTTGGAAAATATGGCTTTGAGTTGGGTGGTGGCCTCTGTATCAGGCGCAAAGAATCAGGACCGTACGTTAAGTCGCAATCCGGAAGAATTCCTTGGTCGAGCTTATACACAAGAATCTCGTTTGACTAAAGTTCAGATCTGAACCGGCACCAGATAAGGGGTCAACGGAATTCAAGGGGGGCTGGACGGACTGTTTGTGGGAACGTAACGACTCTAAGCTGATGACACGTTTAACTCTGCCCCCTCCAGCTCTGCCTGCTCTTCTACATTCTGGGAGCTTGCAGAAGTATTCTTCAAAGGCACATAGGAGATGGAAAACCACTTGCCTTTTTTTTTAAAAAAGCACTGGTGCAAATTGACGTGGAACAAAAAAGGAAGCGAAAGATCCTAACAGGTTACAATCAGAACAAAGATCTCATGGGAGAAAAGGAACAAGAAAGCCTCACCCAGCAAAAAATAAATAAATGTATATATATATAGCGCCAGAGAGAGAGAAAGAGAGAGTGGCGTGCAGAGTCCAAGTTGCTGTTGTGAAACAAATGCACACACCAAAGAAGACGCATCTCCTACCCAGCTTGGCAATGCTCCACAGGTCTCAGAACAGGCTGCCGCCATCACTGTTGCATTTCTGCAGAAAATGCTGGTGAGGTGGCTCCACCGTTTTCCCCTGATCCCTGTGTGCTCTCGTGGGAGATCCTCCCTCTTTTTTTCATGGACAGAGAAGGAGAATTATTTGATGTCTCCCTGATGCCAGAGAAATCCAATCCCCCTGTAAGGTTGCTTCACCCCCGGGGAGGAAGGAAAGGTATCCTGTGGCCCATTGGCCGAAGATCTTTGAAGACCTACAGAAGAGTTTGCGTTCTTCTGTAGGACAGCCGACTGTAACTTAAACATTTTCTTGGGTTGCTAGGTATTTGGAGCCAGCTGAAGGGCATGGAGCAGTCTCAAAATGGGAGCTGCAACGTTCTCGCCGCATGTCACTTTTTCTGGTTGGAGAAAAGGATGTAGCATCTGCTGGATAGTTTGCGGTAACCCCACAACCACTTCCCTTTCTTCTAAATGCAGTATTTCTCAACCTCAGCAACTCAAAGGCAGGTGGGGGATTCTGGGAGTTGAAGTCCACCTGCCTTCGAGTTGCTGAGGTTGAGAAATAGTGCTCTAATGCCGTTGAGAGAGGTTTCGTCATAAAGGGCTCCTTGGGGATGGACTTTTCTGCAAAATGTCCGCCTTGACCTCTCTCTAAAGAAGGAGAAAAGACCAGACACTGTACCTTTTGATGACAAAGGACATGCCAGCCAAGTCAAACCGGCCTATTCTCTTCCATTTTTGCCATCTGTTTTGACTGAATTGCAGAATGCCTTGTTTTCTGACGACAGGAGTGCAGCCCTTCTGCATAAAAGCGGAAACAGGAGGAACGTTCTCAAGAACATCGGAGAAGAAACGCGGCCAAGGTCCTCCAGAGAGCTCTGACTTTCCCTCTCTTCCTTCTCTCTGTTCCACGGGCAAAGTTGTGAACCAGGATCGGGGCCTGTCTCTGGGTTCGAACGGCTTTGCGTGGAGGGCGGGAGCAGGATGGCACATCGCAATCCGAACCACGTTTCCTACCACCATCGTGGCGATGTGATTCTGCAAAGCAGATAAAAGGGCGGCCGGGTCCTTCTAGTGCCAGATCTCCCCAAATCTCTTTCTAGACCACCAGCATGAAACCAGCTTCTCCTCTAATTATTGTTTTTGTTTTGTTTTGATTGCTTAAAGGTATTTCTGTTGAAAGGGAAGCACCTTTCCAAGGTATGTCTACACTACAAGCGCTAAGCTAGTTTCAGATCAGTTTAACTGTCTGGAGCAGTGTTTGCTCCACCTTGGCAACTGTTAAGACGGGTGGACTTCAACTCCCAGAATTCCTCAGACAGCTGGCTGAGGAATTCTGGGAGTTGAAGTCCACCGATCTTAAAAGTTGCCAAGGTGGAGAAACCCTGAGGAATCCTGCAGGTTGATAACGGTGTTAACAGCCAGTGGTGGGATTCAGCCGGTTCGCACCACTTCGGGAGAACCGGTTGTTAACTTTCTGAGCAAACTGGTTGTTGGAAGAAATCATTAGGGCAGAGAACCGGTTGTTAAATTACTTGAATCCCACCACTGTTAACAGCTCTTGGTTTATGAATATCTGCGCATTCCTAATGGGACCCTCTTAAGACTACGTTTTGCAGATCTCCTGTATTGGGGAGCTGCTGTAGCCAGAAACGGGTTTGAAACCAGTTTAGGTTTGTAATATAGATGTGTCCCAAAGTCTCTTGGGATATTTATTTTTCTTGGGGGGGGGATGTGGGTTTTAGGAGACAAAAAGGGACAAGCAGAAAAAGAATCCAGTTGTCATGGGAAAATGTAACGTGTTTTGTTAACAAAAATAGGGGTTCAAGCAATGCAGAGAACAAAATGTAACTTGATTCCCATTTAAGATATATTTTTCTAGAAGGGGTGGGGAAGGCTGTGTAACTTTCAGTCCTTGTAGAGTGTTTTAAGGGTTTTTGTTTGTTTGTTTTTTTGTTATTACGGCTTTTTTATATTAAAAAAAATGATTTGTTTTGCTTTGGGAGGGCTGCCTCAAGCCAGATACAGTTTAATCATGGCAATGTCTTATGGAAATGAATGGACTAACTTAAGTCTTTCGGCGGACTTAGGTTTTATCTAACTGTATGTGGGTTGGAGTCTTGGTGTTTGCTGCCTATGTGTAAAAATCCAGCTGTACTTAACTGGCTGAGATCCTTGTTATTAAATCAGATACACATTATAGTTTTTAAAGATATATATATATATATAGTATAAATAAATAAAATATATATATATATGCCTAACACCAATAAAAAAAAGGAGAAAAAGGAAGAAAAGTATTGGGGGGGGGAGGGAAAAGGGCAAGATAGTTTAAAAAATACTTTTTTTGGACTGATTCAGAATTACTGGGATGGGGAGCACGGGGGTTAAAGTTGTGTTTCTGAGTGCCTCAAGATATGGATTGTGTTCATTTTTTAAAAATATATATATAATAATTTTATACAAGTGTCAAGAAAAAAAAAACAGCTGGCTGGATTATTTGGAATTTTTAAATAATCCTTAACTTTTTTAAAAGTAGAATTTTGAGAACTGTCCTGTATATAACAGTAATGTAGCAATAAATGTGACATTTTATAACAATATTACCTTTTCCCCCACTCCCCAGATCTGTCTTTCAGATGTTGTATACCTATCAATGAAAAAAAAAAGTTGTAATAAAGGTTTTACCTTGTACTAAAACGGCTTTTGCTGGTCTTTTTGTTTCCATCACTTGCTAGATTGAAGGTTGAGATTTTTTTGATGTTGTAACTGGAACATTATTTCTGCTTTTTTCTTTTCCCTATAAACCGTGCTGCTTGAGTCATAACCCAGATCAAAATGGAGGTGTGTTTTTAGAGGAGAAAAACATTCACCGTGGAAGGAAAACGACCAAGACTACACTGACATCCATCTTGTGATTGTAAAAAAATAAAATCTGAAACTAGAGTTCCCGTTTCTGCATCAGACAAAAATCAGATTGCTGTTAAAATTGGCACTTTTTAAAAATTATGTATTTATTAAATTTATGGAGCCAACCAGTGGTGAAATCCAATTTTTTTTTACTATCAGTTCTGTGGGCGTGGCGTGGCGGGCATGGGCGTGGCTTGGTGGGCGTGGCAGGGGAAGGATACTGCAAAATCTCCATTCCCACCCCACTCCAGGTGAAGGATACTGCAAAATCTCCATTCCCACCCCACTCTGGGGCCAGCCAGAGGTGGTATTTGCCGGTTCTCCGAACTACTCAAAATTTCCACTACCAGTTCCCCAGAACCTGTTGGATTTCACCCCTGGAGCCAACCATCCCAGATATGTGACTCTGGGTGGCACAGACAAAAATAACAAAAACATTAAAATACAAGTTTTTTAGTTTACAAATATAACAAAAAGCACAGAAGAGGGCATTCCAAAACATATGAACAATGCAACTTCTTCACAAATTCTGTCCTTCTATAGCAGGGGTCTCCAACCTTGGCAACTTTACGACTTGTGGACTTCAACTCCCAGAATTCCTCAGCGAGCGCATGCGCAATTCTGGGAGTTGAAATCCACAAGTCGTAAAGTTGCCAAGGTTGGAGACCCCTGTTCTATAAGATCCCCAGGCGTGCTGTAGAAGTCACATTTAAAGGATTTCTTGAAAGTCATAAGGGTCCAAGCCAGTAGTGGGTTCCACTTATCTTCACTATTGGTTTGGAATGGGGAGCATGTATGCACGTAGTGCTTCTGCAGATGCGCAGAGCGTCCGTGATGACATCCGGGCAGGTGGGCGGAGCCTCTTGCTGCCGCCACTACTGATTCACCCAAACCGGGGCGAACCAGTAGAAACCCACCACTGGTCCAGGCCAGGGGTGGGTTCTAAATTTTTTTACTACCGGTTCTGTGGGCATGGCTTATTTTGTGGGTGTGGCTTGGAGGTCATGTGATTAGGTGGGCGTGGCTAGTTGGTCAGTCATTTCTGGAAGTCCTTGTACTTACGACCAGTCCTCACACTTACGACCTGACTCATTTGTTTGCTTTTAACACTGATCAGCTATAGGACGGCCCTTTGAAGCCCCGCGGCAAGAGTTTAAACAGTTTTTTTCCCTCTAGTCATCAGCTGGGACTCAGGAGGCAGCAATAGATTGGGGGTGGGACCAAATAAAAGGTAAGAATAACATGGGGGGGTGGGAGGGTGGGGCGGGGAGAACCGGTTCGGTGAAGTCATATCGTCACCGCTACCGGCTCGGCCGAACTAGACCGAACCGGGAGGAGCCCACCACTGGTCCAGGCCAACCTCACCTTGATAGGAAGGGATGATGTTCCAAACAGTAGGTGCCACTGCAAAAAATGCTCTCCTGAATCCTGGCAGATAAAACTCCTTAGTAGATGGAATCCATAACATGACATTTCTGTTGGATCTGACGAGATAGTAAATGAATAACGTAGCCCCCTGCCATGTAGGCCTTCAAAGGTGATAACCAGCACCATGAATTGAACCAAGAAGCAAACTGGCAACCAATACAGTTTGTGGAGCAGAGATATGATCTGTGCAGTTCTAGGGGCACACATAAATGCCTGCACTGGGGCATTTTGTACCAGCTGAAGCTTCCAGATGCTCTTCAAGGGCAACCTTTCCCAGCATTAGAGGTTGATCTTTGTATTGTGTTTCTGAAGTAGGATAATTTGGGCCTCAAGTGAGAACTTTTAGGTTGATTTGTTTGACAATGTATTGCACGGGTGTCAGACTCATGGCATCACATTGCCATCATGTGACGTAGGAAGTTAGCAATCACCCCTCTCCTAGAAGAATGAAATATTCTAGGAAATATTAAAAAGGCAGAGTATTATACCTCCCTGGATGAGAAATGGAGAAACATGTTTTTTTTAGGCAGGAAGCAGACTCACTGTTAATAGTACCCACCCACCTCCTCTATAGCCCACAGCAGATGTCAGCACTTAAGAGTTAAAGAGATGGCTAGGTCTATTCATAAGCAAATACCTTCACCCAAGATCCAACAAAGATAGGATTAGCCCTCAGACATAATAGGATTAGCCCTCTACCCATCTCACCACATGGCACTTGGGAAGATTACATCACCCAGCAAGATTCAATCAAGCCTGGGACTCAAGACAACCTACAAAGTTACCCCTGCATGGCCCCATGGGAGTCTGACAACCAATCAGAATACATTTCTTTCACAGGAACAGGAAGCAAGTTCAAAGCCCAAGGGAGGGTATAAATCTCTCTCTCTCTCTCTCTCTCTCTCTCACCCATGTGCTTACTTTGCCCAGGACCTCAAACCATGTGGTCCTGTCCACCATTTTTCCAAATAGCCTCCATGTTTCCAGTGTCTTTCTCCCCACTTGGAACTGAACCTATATGGACATTTCTTCCAACAGTATCATGACGTTTTTCCCCTTCACGGAGCTGGGGTGTGCGTAGCCTGCACATGACGCATCTGACCTGTGGGCTTCCAGTTTGACACCTCTGATTATTGCTTTGATTTCTGGGCTGACCATGAGATTCTCAGGACTTTAACACCAAACCTTAGAAATGTCTCCAAGTTTCTAAAGCTTCAATACTCTTTGTGCTTTGAAGTTCTGCTTCCATAGAGTGTCACACCCATAGTTCAAAGGCCTCAATTCTTTGGCGCTCAGCCTTCCTTATGGTCCAACTTTCACAGCCCAATTAAGAATAATGAGACTTTATTGTCCAATCAGCTTGAAAACAGCACCTGGGGAAAGGTTGGCTTGCCCAAAGGACGTGTAGTCACCCCACTTCCCCCTTTTAAAACAAAGCCTGGGCTAAGATTTTCATTATGGTTATGCAATTTGAACCCTAAGCAGAGTATGCATTTTTGGTTTGTTTGCAAGGTTTGAAGGCTTTTAAAAAAACAGTCCAGTCCAGTCCATATCTGTTAAGTGTAATCATATTTGCAATTGTGAACAAAATGTCTCTTGCTGCAAAAGACTGAATTTCAGAACGGGACCCTTTGCGATATTTATTATTTTGAATGTACATGTTTACAAGGCACTGCGAAGGACGCCCAATGCTCCTTTCCCACTAAATACAACCTTGGTAGGGTCCTTCCTGAAAAGGGTAGTTCCGCACACTGCATTGCGTCACAGAGAAGGCGGGGAAAGCGGGATAACATTGAACATAGACTTTTTTACAGACTCGCAGTCATCTAAATCTATTCAGATTGAGAGCCTTTTTTTAAACGAGCTATTGTGTCTACCAAGGTAAAAATAGCCCAGAGGGTTTACGCCTTTACGACTCCGCCGTTTAATTCTTGTGGAGCTGTGTGGGCTTTGTTGTGTATGTGTAGAATTTACAAGACATATTTTTCAATCAGTGGATGATTTGAAGTAGTGTTTCTCAATTTCAGGAACTTGAAGATGTGTGGACTTCAATTCCCAGAATTCCCAGCAAAGCTGGCTGGGGAATTCTGGGATGCAGAAATCTTCAAGCCGCCAAGGTTGAGAAAGTAGTTTAAGTATTTGCCTCCAAAGTGAGCCTCTTTAAAGGGCGGCTACTTTCAGCAATGGGATTATTTTGTCTTGTTAAAACTGGGAATCCCAATCTTAACACCCCCATTGTTTCATTTGCAGGATCACTTCACAGACCACAGAGGGAAATTTTGGAAACAACCCATCAAAAAAATCACAGAAAGAGATACAGGTAGTCCTCGACTTACGACCACAATTGAGGCCAAAAAATGTCTGTTGCTAAGTGAGACAGTTGTTAAGGGACTTGCAGCCCCACTTTACAACCTTTTTTTTTTTTTTTTTTGGCCACAATTCTTCAGGGAATCACTGCAGTTGTTAAGTTAGTAACGTGGTCATTCAGTGAATCTGGCTTCCCCATTGATTTCGCTTGTCTAAGGTCACAAAAGGGGATCGCACGACATGACCCCATAAATGTGAGTCCATTATCAAGCGCCTGAATTTTGATCACACATGACCATGGAAAGGCTGCCATGGTCGTAAATGTGAAAAACGATCGTAAGTCCCTTTTTTTCAGCGCCGTTGTAACATTGAAGGGTCACTAAATGAACTGGTGTAAGTCGAAGACTCCCTGCACACACTTGCCTACCTACCGTAGCTTTCTGGTATGTTTCATCTGCTATTTCACTGAGTTTTCCTTTTAAAAAAAAGAAAACCTAGTACTGGCTAGAGAAAAATGTTTTTCTATTTCCTGATTGCTTATTTGTACCCGATGACTATCATTAAGTGTTGTACCTTATGATTCTTGACGAACGTATCTTTTTCTTTTATGTACACTGAGAGCATATGCACCAAAGACAAATTCCTTGTGTGTCCAATCACACTTGGCCAATAAAAAGTTGTATTCTATTCTATTCTATTCTATTCTATTCTATTCTATTCTATTCTATTATTCTATTCTACTCTACTCTACTCTACTCTACTCTACTCTACTCTACTCTACTCTACTCTTCATTACTGCTGAAAAATGAGCGTAGCGTTCTATACTTTATCCTAGGTCTATAGACGGGTGAGTAGCTCTAACGGCGCTGCGCATGCGCCCCGGGGGTCGAGAAGGAGAGCCGCTGGGCGCGGGCGAGCCGGACAGGCGACCTTCATGGCGGGTATCATGGCGCGCTTAGGGCTGAAGCCCGGCTTGTTGGAGCATCTACGCAAGCAGTGAGTCGGGCTGGGGTGCGGCTCTGCTTGCTCGGTCTGCTGGGAAATGGGGTCCCCCTTGGAAGTACGCTCGTTGCTCTTGCAGTTAATCTCACTCTGCCCTCTTATTTCCAAGCGGCTGTCCTTGTTTTGCCCTGCAGGGACTACATATCCCAGCATTTCGAGCCACTTTGGCCACGTTATCCTAGTTATGAGAACTGGCATAGGAGAACATGGGCTTGGGGTAACAAGTTGAGGAAGGGGTGGCTTCAGCACCCATCTCCAGACCCCAAAATTAATGTTTTAAGAATGCAAATGTAAAACAATATCCTCCAAATTTAACCCCTACATCGTTTCATTTGGAGGATTCCTAAGAACAAAACCGAGATACCTTAAAAATTAAGGACGGTCCGAACCACCAGCAAGCAAAACCAAGAGTAACTTTAGAAAAAACGCATATTCTAAGAAAAGACAGCTTTCTGAATATAAAGGCATACTCTTCATTTCAAAATAATAAAGGACAACTTTATAATACTGTAAGCAGGGTGGATAAAAATCAATGATTTTTTTTAAAAAAAATCAGATTTTTTTTATTTAAATCGGATTTTTTTTATTTAAATCGGATTTATTTTAATAAAAAACTTTTGGGGTAAAAATCTATCGTAAGATAGTTTTCTATTTAAGATACATAAATAATTTAGTTTATTCAGCATGAAATGGAGCTTAGTTATGTAGCACAAGGTTGTATATTCTGCAACACTGGGACTATCGGTGAGTCAACAGTGGGTCAAAGGAGTAGCAGAGATGACAGTTGCTCTTTAAAAATTATGATTGAAATCGAGTTGATTTAAATCAAGCCTTTTTACTAGTGATTTAAATCATGATTTAAATTGTGATTTAAATCAACTCGATTTAAATCAAATCCACCCTGACTGTAAGCTTAGGGTATTATAAAGGACTGCCCTGTTTTATCCCAAAGGTGCTTTTTCAAGAGGCAACTGGACTTCCTGCTTTTTCTGAGCTCTGAGCTGAAGAAGCTTCTTGGATGAGAAGCGAAACGTCTTCAAAGAAAAACTAGAAAGTCCAGTGGCCTCTTGAAAAAAAGCACCTTTGGGACAACCCTGACCTGGACGACTGAGAATCTCCATAGATTGCCCTGTTTGTTTCTCCGGTTTTCAAATTGTGCTCAACTTTTTCTAATTCAGCTTTCCTTAATTAGTATTCGACATGTAGGTTAATAAATAAAGGGAGAGTATGCAACATTTTCTCATGACTTTGCCAACCTAGAATCTGTCCATTTCACCATGTCCTTTCCAACCTGGTTTCCTGACCTGTGTATAGGATCTATCTATCTATCTATCTATCTATCTATCTATCTATCTATCTATCTATCTATCTATCATCTATCTATCTATCTATCTATCTATCTATCTATCTATCTATCTATCTATCAAATTTCTATACCGCCCTACTCCCGGGGGACTCAGGGCGGTGAACAGCCAAGATAAAACACAGATAATGCAAACATTAAAAGTCCATTAAAATTATTAAATATTTTGGCCGAAAACAAATTTAAAACACCCAATTTGTAAAACAGAATAAACGATTTAAAAATTTAAAAGGGAGAGTTAGGCCAGGCCAGCCTGCTGAAATAAAAATGTTTTTGAGAGCACGACGAAATGTGCGCAGATCCGGGATCCTCTGTATCTCTGGGGGGAACTCGTTCCAGATGGTAGGTGCCCCCACAGAGAAGGCTCTCCCCCTGGGGGCCGCCAGGATTCATATGAGATCAATGAAACACTGGTATGTTTCTTCCAGACAAAAGCCACACCAATCTTCATTCCTAAGCAGCTGTCGTAAATTTTATTTTAAAAAATATGCTTAAATGAAAAAGCACGCCTAACATGAGAAGAAGAAAGCAGTTTTTCAAAGTGGCCTGTTTGCAGTTTTGCGAGGTGCGTCTGTAGCGGATCTTTAAAGGTTCATGGCAAGTGATTGAAAGGTCTCTACAAAAAGGACCCATCAAATGTGCAAGTTTTCAGAACAAGAAGTATTCTAGGACTTAAAATACTGCTGTTCAAGTTACTAATTTTCTCCATATTGCAGGAAGGGTGTATATACGCTCTGGGCCACCAGTGTCGCCATAGGAGGTGTGTGGCTCACAGACTGGAAGGTGATCTTTGGTTATATCCCGTGGATCAATGGCAAGTTTAAGGACGATGAATGAGCAAAACTTGTACTATTAGGTAAGACTTGTGATGTGTGAGGCTTCCCTTCTTAAAAGTATGCCATCCTTGATTTGGCTTCCTTCTCCCAAAAAAATATTGTATGCAGGTAGTCCTCGACTTACAATCACAATGGAGCCCAACATTTTCACTGCTAAGCAAGACAGTTTTGCCCCATTTTATGACCTTTCTTGCCACAGTTGTTAAGTGAATCTGGCTTCCCCACTGATTTTGCTTGTTAGAAGGTTGCAAAAGGTAATCGCATGATCCTGGGACACTGCAACTGTCATAAACACATGCCAGTTGCTAAGCATCCAAATTTTGATCACATGACTATGTTGCAATGATCTTAAATGTGCAAAACAGTCATAAGTCACTTTTTTCAGTGCTGTTGTAACTTTGAGCGGTCACTAAATGAAAGGCTGTAAATCGAGGATTACCTGTACCCCTCCCAGCTTCATATTTTGACTTGAAGAAAAGCTCCAAGGTCCAGTAGTTGAAAAATCACACTCTTGGCAAGCATAACTTTTTGTCTTGATGGGAAGGCCATCAAGATTATTTTTTTGAATCCTTAATCACTAAACTTATGAATATTGCTATGAATTCCTGCAACCAGAAGCATGGATAACTTTCTTGAATTAATACACCAAATATTTAATATACCTGCTTAGCTCTCTCAGTTCTTTCTTTCCTTCTCTGTGTTCCTCTACTTATCTTGTGGGCTTCCTTCTCCCCCATATCACAAACGCATGTTAACCTCACACACACTTTTCTCTAGGCTTTAATTGAATGCTTCTCACCCTTGTTACTAATTTCCTTTTAAAACAGACTTTTAATCACTCGGATTTCTGCATCGTAATCTCATTTTCAGTTATTTGTGTTCCATGTTTTTCCATCTTTATAAAAGGAAGCATATTCAATCTTTATCATAGTTAGGACAGTTATAAAGGTCCCTAACCTTTATAGCTTGGTGGTCTGTGGGGGGGGGAGAAGGAAATCAGCCCGCACAAGTAGTGGGCTGGCACGCACACCAGCCCACCACTCGTATTAAATTGAACTCTGCACACGTGTTCGTGACGGCCTACCGCTCACACAAATTGAGCTGTGCATGCGCCAGCCAATCACTTGCATGGCCCAATTCCAAACAGGTCATGGCCCAGTAGTGGAATGCAACCCAGAGGTTGGGGATCCCTGAGTTAGGAGCCAAATGATAAGAAAGATAAAGATTTTATTTATTTTATTTATTTGTTTAAATTTCTATACCGCCCTTCTCCAAATAGGACTCAGGGCGGTGCACAGCCTAAGTAAAAACAAAGCATACAAAATATAAAAAACAGTATTAAAATAATTAGATATTCTGGCCGTAAATTAAAACAACCCAATTTAAAACCAATTTAAAATTTAGCTCAAGCCAGCCCAGCTAGTTGAAATAAATAAGTTTTCAGGGCCCGACGAAAAATCCGGAGGTCTGTTATTATACGTAACTCCGGGGGAAGGTTATTCCAGAGGGTGGGCGCCGTCACAGAGAAGGCTCTCCCCCTGGGGGTCGCCAGCCGACATTGTCTGGCGGACGGCACCCTGAGGAGGCCCACTCTGTGCGAGCGTACTGGCCGGTGGGAGGCTATTGGTGGCAGTAGGCGGTCTCGTAAGTACCCCGGCCCTAAGCCATGGAGCGCTTTAAAGGTGGTCACCAACACCTTGAAGCGCACCCGGAAGACTACCGGGAGCCAGTGCAGCTCGCGCAGGAGAGGTGTCACATGGGAGCGCCTCGTCGCCCCCATAATCCCCCGCGCGGCCGCATTCTGGACCAGCTGGAGCCTCCGGGTGCACCCCAGGGGGAGCCCCATGTAGAGAGCGTTGCAGTAGTCCAGGCGGGAAGTGACTAGTGCCTGAGTGACTGTGCGTAGAGAGTCCTGATCTAGAAAGGGGCGCAACTGGCGTATCAGGCGAACCTGATAAAAAGCCCCCCTGGCCACGGCCGTCAAATGGTCTTCTAAAGACAGCCGTGCGTCCAGGAGGACGCCCAAGTTGCGAGCCCTCTCCGTGGGGGCGAGTGATTCGCCCCCAATAGCCAGCGATGGCGTCAGCTGGCTATATCGGGACGCTGGAAGCCACAGCCACTCGGTCTTGGAGGGGTTGAGTCGGAGCCTGTTTCTCCCCATCCAGGCCCGCACGGCCTCCAGGCACTGGGACATCACTTCAAGGGCATCGTTGGGGTGGCCTGGGGTGGAGATGTACAGCTGGGTGTCATCAGCGTACTGATGGAACTCCACCCCGAAGCCACGGATGATCTCACCCAGTGGCTTTACATAAATGTTGAACAGAAGGGGCGAGAGGACCGACCCTTGTGGCACCCCACAAGCAAGGTGCCTCGGGGTCGACCGCTGCCCCCCCGTCAACACAGATTGCGACCGGTCAGAGAGGTAGGAGGAGAACCACCGCAGAACGGTGCCCCCCACCCCCAACCCCGCCAACAAGATGCTGATTGAGATGCTGGCTTTTGTCTAAGTCACTTTCATGAGTTGTGCTCTTGATGTCTGTTGACAGAAATAGAGTCTGGATAGGTAATAAGACGCAGGTTAGACGTGATGTTGCCGACTTCCTTTTCAAAGCCCTTCTGCATTTAAGAATCCACAATCTAGCAAGATAAACATTTGAGTTATGTGGTGAATGCAGAGTCCCATCCTTATGAAAAATTAAGGGGACATGAGTCCAAAGGCAGTCTGGTGTAATGGCCTCCACCATGCTGCCTTTAGAGGTACACCTTATTGATCTCGTGCAGGGCTGTGAAGAGAGTTTAAGCTTTGGGTATGATTCTTATTATTGGTTATATGAGATATGATGAGGCTGCTGGGGGTTTTTTTTGTACCTGTTGGTTACCAAAACACAGAGTCTATTCATTTATATTTTTGTTTTTATTCCTGTAAACCACCGAGTGTTTTGGGAGGAGGGTGGTTGATTAATATGCGAAAATAAATTTAACTTTGGAATGGAATGAGTAAAAGGACATATTATGAACATATTTTTTTAAAAAAACCCTTTGTCGGTTAGGCAGTTCACCCATCTTGCTCCATAATTTTTGCTTTGACTGGCAGCAATTCTGCCAATCCTTCAAGAATATATAGGATATTATTCATTGCTTTTCTAGATTCTCTTTTTAAAACTGGCAGCCACCAGGAATTGATCTTCTACAAGCAAAGAAAGTGCTTACATCACTGCATGGCACTCCCATCCCAGAAAAGATTTCTTCCTGTGGAGTATCAAGATAAAACAGAACAAGACATTTTGAGTTATAACTTTTGTTGTAAGACAATACATATACATGTGTTCATTAGTCTTATTACCTTAAAGGTGAAGCAAGGTTATGCAGAACTTGGAAAAGGAGAGTCCTTGACATATGGCAGAAGTAAGGATGCTAAGTAGCTTTTTCAGGGTCTGCCATAACTGCAAACGTCATTTAGCTGCCGTTTGAAATTATGGGAGACCCTGAAAAAGTTACTTACGAACCAGATTCAAAATTCCTCCATCGCCCTCCCCTTCCATGGTCATATGACCACATTTTGGGCGCTTAGCAACTGACTTGCATTTATTGTCATTTGCAATGCCCCATGATCATATGATTGCAATTTACGACATTTTGGCTGGAAATCAGCGTTTCTTACTGGCAAAAAACCCACTCCATAGTGAAAATGGGTTTGCTTAATAATTGCAGCATTCGTTTAGTGACTCTGGTATTCACTTTATGACCACTGCAAAAAAGTTGTAAATCAGGTCTGGTCACGTGATTGCTTTACAACCATTATGATTTATTATTGTGGGACTCAGTTATGATCATAAATCAACAACCATTTGTAGTAAGCAAAATAAAGTCTGAACTTAGAAAAAAAAAGCCAAATCCAGTTTGCATCAGTACTGTTCACTGTACCTTTGTCTTTACTAACCATCCTTACTTCTATCTTCTATATATTGATACCTCACTGTTAGATATATTGCCTTGTACATTGTCTTTTATTTCTTAAATTATAGGTAATTGTCTCTTTGTTGAGGATCTTTCATTCCCTCCAAGACTTTCTCAATGTCCACCTTCCTCTCAACCCATTCAGTTTAGTTTCGTATATTTGTTCTATGATTCAGTTCTCATTTATTCTCTTTACATTCATTCATTCATAGCTATTTAACATTGGCATTCTGTATTTCTTTTTTCATCAGTTGCATTTATCCAGCACTCACTACCTTTCTGCTACTTCTACTCCCTACTCCCTTCTCCCTCCTCCTACAGGCCAGGCTACCTTGACTTGGGGAAGCTGCTTCTCTGATGTTCCTGGTCTGAGTCTCTGGTGTCACCTTCCATGAAAGTGCACAACAGCTTCATTTTATCCTCAACGAGCAGTTGCCATATAATGTCCTGTATAACCAATAAATGTCTTAGCTCATGGGGTCTACGCAGCAATGTATTTTCTTTTTCCCTCTGTGGGTATTTATTATATGAATTAATGCAACCAAATATGTATCTAAATATATATATTTAAAATTAATGCTTAATATTGAACAGATATACATGTGAATGTTCACTCACCTATCTTGATTGTTTTGTAATAGAAAAGTATTTATGTCTGAGTTTGAATCCCAGAAAAAGGCATGCCTGATTTTTCTTCGAGCATAATTGTTGAAAAAAAATAGCTATTCTACATTATTGCACTTCCCATGCATTTCAGTTTTGTTTTGTTTGCAGTCAGCATTACATCCCTTCTCAGTTCTTCCTCCTTCCATGTTAGACTATAACTTCCATATTCCCTTTTAAGAACTTTAGAGACCTTGCTTAGCGCTGGATGTTGAAACATCTTCTGACAAATATTTCTACAGATTGTTTGGTATGGCAGCTTCCAGATCGTAAGCCCAGATATATAAGCTACTAAGAGAACGTTAACTTGAACCTGCCTTGTAAGCCCAACAAATATAGCAATAGCATTTAGGTTTATATACTGCCCCGCAGCGCTATCTGGGTGGTTTACAATGTAGAAGCATTATTTGTATATTGTCTCCAACAATCTGAGTCCTCATTTTACCAATCTCAGAAAGATGGAAGGCTCAGTCAATTAGAGCCCCGTCGGAATCAAACTCCAGGCTGTGGGCAGAGTTTGCCTGCAATACTACACTTAACCACTGTACCACCAGGGCTCCTTGAATCCTGTTATAGTGCACCACTATCAATCATGCACCGCCAGGGCTCCTAATATCCCTACAAGCAATTCCTTGTAGCATCTCTGCATGTGTAACTTTTTTAGCTTGTACATTTTTTAAAAGGTTTGGGGAAGTGCCACCTCAAGTGAACCAAAAAATGAGTTTTTCTATCTCCCTCCCTCCCTCCCTCAAATTATTTACTTTCTATTGAAAGTAAATAATTTACTAGTACAAACTGTTCTTGTAATATACAAGGGCACAACAATTCACGATTAGAATTCTATGAAAAGGAAGATAAGACAGACAGCGATAGCAATATTCTGCTGATGATACGCAACGGTTGGTTAAGTGATCCAAACTGGAAAGCAACTAATTTTTGTTGCCTGCTTCCATTCAGCCTGCTGACTTCCTCTAAAAACTTTCAGTACTCAAAACTATAAATGTTCTTCGAGATGGATTTTAAATAGGCAACATTATTCTGACATTTCCTTCTAAACCAGTGTGTAACTGATTACAAATATCAGCACAAATACTGCTGCTTATCACCACTAGGCAAATTTGGGGAAAATAAGTAATGCCTTTAGTAATGCATTCACTGATAAAAGACAGCAAAAATCAGACTTCTGGGGGGAATCGTCAGCTTAAATCTTTTTTTATCTAAATGCTTAATAATTGAAGAAAATAACCATTAGCTAATTTGTATCAAATTACTTGTTTTGACAACTGCTTGTAAAAATAAGATAAAACTTGTATGAAAGGGGCCAAACAAAAATAACAAAATACATTGAAATGTACAAAAAAGTGCAAAAACATTAAAACAGTGTTATTACAGCAAATATTTTTTTAAATTAAGAAAAAATGGATAAAATATGTTTAGCAGAGCTTGCTAATTTCCAAAGCAGTGTATCGTTGTATAAATTCATTAGGTATTCAATTTTATATGAATCAAAATGATTTTCTAATCAAGAGAGCTTGCAAAACTTTTCCATGTGCTAAAGCAGAAAATAAGGCAGTACAATAAAAAAGGAGTAAAATCATAATTTCCTTGGAGCAAAGGCAGAAACACATATTGTATAAAATATTGAGAAATTCACCTTTTCTAGCTGCTGATATCATTTGCTGGAACCATAGCCTTGTAAGTACCTCATACTAATTTGTACTCACATGGTAGCCTTAATATTTAAAATATTGTGGTTTACTTCTTTTATGCAGTACGTGTGTGTTAGAAGTATATACCATTTGAGATTAAGAAATCTCAAAAAGTTTTCTCAGCATTCTGAGAAACTAACAATAGCTACAGTAATTAAAATGTAATTTATTTTTACCAATTGCATTTGTTAATATGCAAGTTAAAAATGCAAATGAAGAGTGCCATTTTCTTGTTTCAAAATTATTTTTGTATAGTTATTTAAATCATTAAGTCAGTAGAAAGGGTAAAAAACGGATAGTAAAGGCATAGGTATTTTAGATTTTATCCAATTCTTCATTGGCCATCTAAGCAGCTTAAAAGTTGCTTCCCTCCCCCATTGATCTGCTAAATCTATCAGATTTTATTTTTGTAATTCTTATAAAGCAATTTCACTTCAAAAGATGATGGGAGAGTATTGATAACTTTGAATTTTGGTGTTAGAGAACCAAACTCAGAATACTGTGGACAGCCAACGAAACAAACCAATGGATCAGTGAACAAATCAACCTATAGTTCTCGCTAGAGGCACAATTGACCAGTCTCAAATTATCCCATATCAAACAGATTAAGTGAAGGCTCAGCTCTCTGGCTCAGCTTTAATGCTGAGAAAGGGAGACGAAAAGAGAAAAAGATGAGCAGCAAGGTGGGTGGGCTGATATAGGGTAGCAGTGAGTGCACCGTTGGGGCAAATCATCATGGAGAATATGTGTTGATACCAACTTGATGGCAAGTAATCATAAAGCAATGCAAACTCTATACTAATGCAAATGTTAGGAAAACAAAATTTGGATTCTCAATGGTGATCAAATTTGTATCAGAGCGGATGGCTAATGTCTTGCATCCTTTCACCTGAGCTTCCAGTTGTAAGAGGGTACAATGTCATCCTGTCCATTTGAGCTAAGGAATTTTCTTTTTAAAAATTACCTTGACTGCTGAAATGGAGGGTCATGCTTGAAACACAATTCAGAAGCTACAACTGGTACAAAAGGCAGCAGCCAGACAATTAACTGGTGCAAAGTATACATGATGTCTATATTGAAAGATCTGCACTTGCCAGGCATAATTTAGAGCCTTAAAAAACTGGAGGCCTGAATATTTGAAGGAATGCTTCTCCTACCTGAAGGAGAACTCACTAGGCCTCCAAGCAGATCTTTTACATTGGAGCTCCCTATTCCCACCTTAGCAGCTGCTACATTTTTTTTTTTTATTATTTATATGCCGCCCTTCTCCGGAGACTCAGTGCGTTAAGCAATAGCCTTCATACTTTTGTATATTTATACAAAGTCAGCTTATTGCCCCCACAATCTGGGTCCTCAATTTACCTACCTTAGAAAGGATGGAAGGCTGAGTCAATCTTGAGCCTGGGGAGATTCGAACTTGCAGTAATTGCAGGTAGCTGAACGTTAATAACAGGCTATTAGTCTGCTGCGCCACCAGGCTCCTCATTTGAGACAGCAAATCTGTTCTGGAGCCTGAGCTTGTACAGACAGGCTGCTTTTACCAAAAAACAGCTGCTGGCGGAATACTCTGAAATGGTTTTCTAATACTGGTTTTCCCAGTATGAGAACTTCAGGCTATGGAGTGCAAGCGTTTGAATAACCTGCAGATGGCAGTAAGGAGTTAGGAATTTTCTGATGACATCTTCTGGTGTATGCATTTAATATGCATTGTCTGGTATATTTGCTTGTCACCCTGCATTGTCCATCCACTGGTTGTGTAACAAATCATGACCATATTTTAAATATTTTATTTTAAAAATGAAGGCCCACCTGGGACATTTGCAGCTTCCAGCTGAAAGTTGGCTTCAGTGTATTGTTGTCCACAATCAAGCTGCCTAATTAATGAAATCTTTAGGGAGAGGTTCCTCTGAATTCTCCCAGCCAGCTCAACTATTGGTGATGGCCCTTCTCTGGTGCACCTTCTAAAGACATGGAAAGCTCTCCCCAGGGGGAAGCACTTGGCCCCCACTCTCCCAGAATTTAGGAAAGTGGCAAGATGAGTCACTATCACTAGGGATTTCAATGGTTAACTGAGTTTAATCCTGTCATGTTGCTTTAAATTTTTTGTAAGCTAGCATGGGTGCATCTACGAGCAAAAGAAAAAGTATAAAGTTAAATGACTGGTTCTTTTCCCACTTGCTCTGCTTTTGTGTTCATAAGACACTTAACCTGCTGGTGGGGGAACGGTGTTGTTTTTGAAACCCCTTGAAAATTGTTCAGGCAACACCAGAAAGGGCCTGGTGGTTCAGCAGACTGATAGCATTGTGATTAACACCAGCTGCCTGCAATTTCTGCAGGTTCGAATCTTACCAGGCTCAAGGTTGACTCAGCCTTCCATCCTTTCTAAGGTAGGTAAATTGAGGACCCAGTTTGTGGGGGCAATAAGCTGACTTTGTATAAATATACAAAAGAATGAAGGCTATTGCTTAACACATTGTAAGCCGCCCTGAGTCTCCGGAGAAGGGCGGCATATAAACAAAAAAAAAAAAAAAAACACCAATCAATTTGTAATGTTTTTTTATAATTTCAAGGTACGTATAAATTGGGAAGCACCAAATCTCTTTGAGGTCCAGGAGATGATTGATAGGAAGTCCCGGCGGGGCTACGTAGATGAGGCAGAGATGGGTTTGCGAAGGAAGCGTTGCAGGCCTCACCTGTTGAGCTCGTCCCCTGATTTAAAGGCGCATAAAAAAAGGGGGGGGGAAACAAGCGCGACGGATCCCACGCAACGGTCACAGGCGCCGAGGGAGGAAGCCGGAATTGGGCGCCCAAAGGCCGCGGGGGTGAAGCCGAGGCGCCTTTCACGTGCTGGCGGCCGCCCCCCCACCTCCTCCTCCGTCCCCTGCGGGCTGGCCCGGCGGGGCGGGGCTTCTGGGGTCGAAAGGAGCGGGGGTCCTGGGCTTTGGGACCACGTGGCGCCCGCTGCACCGCCCGGGGAAGAGGAAGATGGCCAAGGCGCCGGGGGCACCCGGGGGTCCGAGAGGGAGCCCGCGCTGCCTGCCTTTGGGGTGAGCGCAAAGGGGAGCCTGGGGGAGGGGTGTGCCCGCGACGGCAGTGAGGAAGGGGGGGACACTGAAACCCCACGGACAAGGTTCAGGGCACGAGCCGAGCCGGTCAGCAGGCTTAGAAGCGGGCGCGGAGCAGGGGCTCCGCTGGAAGTCTGGGCGCACGGAGAGCCCCGGGGCAGGCTGAGGAGGGGAGGGGAAGGGTGCTTAGGTGCGTCTAGGCGATGCGGGAAATGGACGCTCTCGAGCCCGCGGGCGGGGGGGGGTCGGGCTCTGCCACAGCCTCGGGAGACAACAGGGAGCGGAAGCGTGAGGGAAACGGGGCCCGGGAGGCGGCTTCGGGTCACCCCCGGAGGTCCTCGCAGCGCCTCCCGTGGGGGGTTGCCGAAGAAAGCGGGCCGGCGAGGCAGGCGCGCGCTGTGGGGCGGGAGTTTTGAAGAGCGGGGAGGGCCGAGCCGTGGGGTGGAGGAAGGGGACGGGTTGCCGGCGAGGGAAGGAGGAAGGGCCTTTTGCTGGCGGCGGAGGGGCTGGGCTGGGGGTCCCCGGTGGGTGGGCGGGCGGCGAGCTCCCCTGACGCGGAAAGGCCTCCTTCGCCCCGCGCGTGGTGGAACGTTAGATGCCACATTAAACGGCCGTTGATAATAACGAACGAACGGCCGGTTCGGGAGGGAGGGAAGGAGGGAGAGGGCGGGCGGGCAGGCAGGCAAGGCAGCCTGTGAGAGGAGCTGGGGGGCGGAGGCGCTGAAGGCACGTGTGTGTGAGAGGGGTGGGGGAAGCGAGTAAATGGGGAGACCCGTGGGGCCTGTCCAAGCAAGCCCAGGGCAGGCAATGAGAGCAATGGGGTGGGCGAAGAGCTTCCCGCGAGGAACCACGATGTGTGGTGGAGGGTACCTGACTTTGTATAAATATACAAAAGTATGAAGGCTATTGCTTAATGCATTGTAAGCCGCCTTGAGTCTCCGGAGAAGGGCGGCATATAAATCAATTTTTTTTTAAAAAAAGGGGTGCAAAAGCCGGGCAGATGGAAAGTCGTTTGAATGTGTGGTGGACCCCCGGGTGGATTTGGATGTCGCCTTTTCGGGCAGGGACTCCAGGCGGCTTGCAGAGCCCGCGCTGCTTTCTGGGGAAGTGGTCGCAGGGATTTGGGGTTTGCCTAACGTCGGGGGGTCCAGGAGACGCTTCATAGTTGGGGAAGCGGCCGGAGTTGAGCATGCGAGGCAGCGTTCACACGTACGAAGCTGTCCGGCTGCGGGGTTCAGTGGGAGAGAGCGAGGCACATCGTGAGGAGAAATGAGATTGGGAGCGTAGAACCGGGATCTGTTTATCAGTAAGAGAAAAAAAACAAAAACCCGAGCCCTGTCAGTGCTTTTGGCAGCAGGTGCCCGTATGAACGCCCGTTCACGTATATGTGGCTAAAAAAAAAAAATTCTGAGGGGACTATATTCTTGCCAAAGCGGAGGGATATCATGTGGGCGCTTTTTCTTTAATTTGGCGGGATGGGAAGTGGACTTTTTTTTTTTCTTTTGGCTTTTCACCAACGGCTGCCTGCGCTCACTCTGCCTCATTCCTTCGTACGGCGGGAGGAACATGAGTGAATGGAACAGCCGCGGAGGGGAGGCGCACGTGCGTGGTTAAGGAAAAAGCAAAAGGAATGAATGAGGGAGACAGCAGCGGGAGGGGAGGGAGCTCCTGAGAAGAGCCGATGATGCAAGCAAAGAAGCTCGGCGGTCGGGTAAAAGGAACAGCGCCCCCATCCAGCGGGAGAAGTGAAGGGTGGGAGGTGCGATTGACAGCTACTGAAAGGAACAGCCACTGTGAACGTTCCAGTCCCAGCAGAGGGAGGCACTCTGGAAGAGCTTGGCCCTGGAAGCCAGAGTGGAGGTTGCAGTCGCCACCAGCTGCAACAGAAGCTAGCCAGCAAGTAGCAGCAAGCAAACCACCGCAGTCCTGGCTGGGAGGGACCTTGGAGCAAGCCGGCAGGCAGGAGCCAGAGGCGGAGGAGGAGGCTGGCTCGATCCAGATCCAGACCCAGGCATCGTGGAAGCAATGGATCGGAAGAGGTGGGAGTGCTCAGCTCTCCCGCAGGGATGGAAAAGGGAAGAAGTGACCAGGAAATCGGGGCTCTCTGCTGGCAAGAGTGATGTCTATTATTATAGGTGAATGTGCCACGGCGGAGGGGCCTTGGGTAGGGAGGGTTGGCGGTGGGAAGGGAGGAAGATGGAGGGGGTGATGGGGCTGCTGTGGCCGCCGCCACCTATCTTTATCTTTACATGCTTGCTGCTGTAAGACTGTCATTGCAAACATATGCGTACAAAGAGGGGGAGTCTGTTTGCTCAGTCTGCATTTTCTGCATTGAGGAGATATAGCTGGTCTTTCCTGTCCCCTGTTTGCACCTACTGTGGAAAGTCTAGTTCTGTGGGGAGAGGGGGAAACTGGTTTCTGCATGTCAAATAGGAAAGGAATGAATGGTTACTTCTAACCTTTGCATGTGTGCTGTGCTGGAGATTTCGGGGCTGAAAATGGCATCTTTAGCATTTTTGAAAGGTTTGATATAAGCTACAGACGTTCCTTGTTCTGCATTTAGCTAAAGAATCACTTGAAAGGAGCGGTGCCAATGGCTTTCTCTCGGTCAGCAGTGGAGTAAACTACAAATGACAATTTCACATCTTAAAAGTCCAGTAGCTTGGTGTATATCCTCAAGTAGAGCTGATTTTAGATTACTACTATTGTACCAGAGTTGAAGCATTTGAGTGATTTCCCCCAGTGAATTGTGGGCAGGTTAGTCTCTTAGTATCTACATGCTAAGAAATTACAGTCCTGTTGCAATTGCAAGATATTCTTGTGGAAGTTTACGCTGTTATTTCAAGATGGAGGAGCTAAGTTGCTGTCTGCTTTTTGTTATCTTTGGGGCTGTGAAAATATGATACCCCTTTCCAGTGACTTTGCATCTGGGTTTTGAAATATATCAGTGTGGGGTTCTCTGGAGAGAAATAGACTTCTATATTGAATAGAGCAGTGGTTCTCAAACTGGTCTTCAACAGGCCAGCTGGTCTGCCATAGCATCCCCACATTAGCCAAATGGAGTCTTCCCACCAGTTCAAGTGATAAATAAATTCTTAATTTCAGATTTCATTTTTTGGTACAAAATTTAACTCAAGGGGCCTTTAAAATTTAGAATGGAGATGTATATTTATCAGAATATAACACAGATGCAGTCATAACTTGTTGAAAAGTGATTTCAGAGATGAAGACATTGCTTGTGTTTTTCTAATATTTATTAAATAGTTCAGATTTGCTGAGAGTTTGTGAAAGAGTGGCACAGAGAGAACGTGAGGCTTTCAGATACAGAAAAATCAAACGTGTTGTGGGAGTCACATGGAAGGGCAACATATCATGTGAAGAATGCATGAGTTGATTTGAGATCCCCCCCCCCAATTTTTGTAAATAACTCAAAGTGGTGAACATACCTAATACTTCTTCCTCTTCCTGTTTTCCACACAACAATCCTGTGAGGTGAGTTGGGCTGAGAGAGACCGACTATCCCAAAGTCAGCCAGCCAAGCTTTCAGGCCTAAGGCAGATTGATAATCTAAATTTGATTTAAATAAATTTAAATTTAATTGATAGTCTAAATTCAATTGGAATCAGTAGTGGATGATAACTAAACTGTCAGAAGTGCTGTCCTAAGTGCAAGAGAGTTTTTGGGGAGGAAACGAGAGAACTGAGTTTCTTTGCAAATGAGAGGAAGCCCCAGTCTGCAGAACAGTAGTTGACCCAGCTGCTCTCTCTTTGCTATACCACTAAACTAGAAACATTGTAGAAAGATAATCAAGAAAAGATTGAGGGAGCAGGGTAGAAACAGAGCCATTTAAGGATATGTGTAGGCAAAAAAAAATAACGAAGTAGTACTGTTGTTGCCACCTTGGTTTCCTTTAGCTTGGTTACATAGATATCTCTGAGATGCTCTCACAATGCTTCTATGTGGGTGTATGGGAAGCAGAAAGACTGCAGAAGATGAGTTGGTAGAAGCTGTAAGTCTGTCTGATACAAAACAGTTTTTCCCTCCTAATCTCTTACAGTATAGTCACAGTATTTCTAGTAATAAGAGAAGATACAGTCTGTTGCATAAAGATACTAGTAACTATGTTCACATATTTCACTAACCATGATTTGTTAAATAAGTCTGGGTTTACAAATCACACTAAGCAGGAACTAAACAAATTGCATTGTGGCTGCTAATCTTGTCAATGTGCTGCTGGTGGCGTTATATCAAATTATGCCAGACTGCCAATGCATGAAAAGTCTTCAGCCTTCTAACCTCATGAAAGAAGGCTGTGAGATGGCATCTTGTGCTTGTTCATTCAGGAAGCTGTAGAGGTGGGGTTCAGGGCTGCAGTACAGAGTATCCCAGCACAATTATTGCATGTTTATAAGCTTATAAATTGTATCCTTCAGATAACAATTCACATGAATTGAGAAGAGAGGGAAATAAAGGCAGAACATGTAAAATCCTAGGTATAATTAAGTGGATGTTTGATAATTTTTAACACAAGTTTTAGAAAAAAATACCTGTAACACCCATATTTTGGATGATAATGATAATAGAGTGTCTTGGAATTTGTGTTCTGCTAAGAGATATCTTTGAGATTTGGTCTAGATTAGGCATGCACAACATGTAAAAGGGAAAGGGCCATATCGATAAATTAAAAGAATAAACCTGAGCCACAAAGTAATACCTGGCATGCTGATCAGCAGGTTTGGTGGCTAACAGAAGGGCAGCACTGGTGACACGGAAGCTTGTATCTTCGGATGGCATCAGTAAATCAGCTTTTTAAAAAAATACTCGTGGGCTGCCAATTGTCTATTCTAGACTTAGCTATATGTATTTTTTTTAATTGATGTGTAGAACAAAGCTTTAGTGCTGTGCCCATGTAATCAATTTGTATTGTCTATTATGCACATGATGAAAGATTTGGAGAACGCCAGTGGTTTTTATAATTTTACAACTTCAGGAATAAAATAGAACAGAGTAAGTACTAAAAATAGCTGACAAAATGTGATATGGAGACATGACTGCTTAGAATATTTTGAGGTAGAAATAGAAACCAAAATGCATACTTCTATGTAGGAGCAGGATTTAAGGATAAGCATTACTAGAACCATTCAGAATTATTCCTTTCTGTTCCTTATCTGCACTAAAGGTGAAGTTAGCTGGCCTGATTGAGTAAACAATAATTATAAGTACTAAGTTGGAGAAATGTATCTGGGATGCTTCTAAAAATGTTCAGGATTTGGTTTTAAAAGAAGTACAGCTAGTTCTCGACTTGCAGCCATTCATTTAGTGACAGTTCAAAGTTACAGTAGTACTGAAAAAAGTCACTTATGACTGTTTTTCACATTTACAACCATTGCCGCATCCCCATGATCACATGTTCAAAATTCAGATATTTGGTTGGCAACTGGTTCATAGTTGCAGGATCCCAGGGTCATATGATTACCTTTTACGACAAGAAAAGTCAATCGGGAAATTAGATTCACTTAACAACCACGTTACTAACTTAACAACTGCAGTGATGCACTTAACAATTGTGCCAAGAAAGGTTGTAAAAAAGGGAAAAACTCATTTAACAACTGTCTCAGCAACAGAAATTTTGGGCTCAATTGTGGTCGTAAGTTAAGGATTGTCTGTACCTTACAGTTAGGAAGCAGTGAACAGGAAAGAGCTGTGGCGTGGAATCACTGAGGAAAGAAGTAAAAGTGAACCATGTTATAGTCATGAAATATGTGAACAAGAGCAAGAAGGAAAAATAGATATATCCCATACAAAAGTTCTGCTTTCTAATCAAGGAAACATTGTGACATTGCAGTTCCTTTGAGTTTTCGATGAAGTTTATTACTTGCACCCTTTCTCCAACTTTCAACTTGGACATGAGAAACTACCTTAACCTGATAGATAATGTGAACCTAGAATGTCCAACCACAATAATTCTCATTTGTATCATTGCTTATCGTACTTTGGTCTAGTTAAAGTAGGATTGAAACTGATAGGCAGTGGCTCTAATCCTTTATGGTAAGCTACATTCTATAGTGATGGGAGATCTCTGCACCACTTAATATTTTCAGTACAATATTAGATGATTCCATCTCCTCTCCTGTGCTTTTTAAAAAATCAACCTGAAGCCTCTGAAGAGAGCAATTTAGAGATTGGGCTAAAGCATAATGAAGATGTTACACAGTTGGCAAATTTCAGTGTGGACGGATAAAGATACAATACTGATGGACAAGGCAGATAAACTTGTGGAATTGTCCAAAGTTTGTAGCTTCACATTCTGGATTTTGAACTCTGTGTGGAAACACACATGGCACTAGAGCAGGAGTATCAAACTCAAGGCCTGGGGCCAGATCCAGGCCATAGGGTGCTTAGATCTGGCCCATGAGCCTGCCCTGGAAACAGTGAAGGACAGGCCGCAGTGCCTCTGCCAGTGAAAACGGAGCTTGGGAGGGCCATGATCGACTCGCCCGGGCTCCGTTTTTGGCCACAACAGCCTCCTACAGCTCTCTGCCATCAAAAATGGAGCCCAGGCGGGCTACATGTGGCCTCCCTGAGCTCCATTTTTGCTAGCAGAGGGCTGCAGGAAGCCATCACGGCCAAAAATGGGAGTCTTGATGAGTGACGTTGAGCTGGCCACGCCCACACTGGCCATGCCCCCAGCCACACACCCTGCCCCCCTTTGAGGATAGTATGGATGCTTCAAATAGCATATAGGACAGTTGCTTATATGCTTGCTGGTGCTAAATAATAGAGTGTATTCATCCAATCTTAAAGCCTATTCACTTCCTGCCCCTATTTGAAGTGTTGCTATTAAGCTCTTGAGCTCTAAATCTGAGCTACGGTATAGTACTTCCCCCCCCCTACCTCCACTTGCAGAAATATTACCTACAGATATATATGGATCAACTAGTTGATTAAAAAACAAAGCTTTTTGTGAGGGTCCTGTCTAAATAAATATTCTACCTTCCTAACAGATCCTAAAGATGTTTAATTCAAGCTGTTTTGAATAGAAGTTGGATTGGTTTAGTGAAGCTCTCATTTTAATTATGCTTAAATAACAGTTATTGCAATGTTTTTCTGCATCACACTGCTTGAGTTCTTTAAGCACCTGATAGTTTTAGTGTAAGATTTTGATGCTGTATTTACATAAATGGATCTTGGTAAAGCAAGAGATGAGCAAAATCTGCATTTGAGACCTCTGGAAATACAGGAAATTGCAGCAAATAATAATAATTTGACCTGGGCAAGACAATATGACCTGGGCAAGACGCTTATCATCAGGACAAATGGTGATTCAGCTTTGCATGCTGGGATCTGATGGTAAAAGAATTGTATCAATGATGAAGACGTGTTTCTGCCTGCCTGAGATCTGGGCATTCGTGGCCAGGTGAAGTAGACAATATTAAGCCAATAAATCAGTGGTCTGACTCTAGGTAATCTCACATATTCATTTAGTGTGCTGTACAAGTAATCATAATTAAAATGATATACTGTTGATACGTGTGACTTTCAGCTGTATTCTTTGATGTTTCTCTAATATTTAACATTTGTCAGTGAAAAAATAAGGAATGATGGGCTTTATTTCTGGAAAAAAATATTTTCACTATTGTCTGATATAGGAATCAGCTATGCAAAGATTTTAGTGACCATGAAAACTGAGTGTGAATGCAAATAATAAGGCTTGATAGATATAAATTACCTTGTAAAAGTATTTTGGATACCTAGACTCTGTGAGAAAGGGTAATCCCTGAAAGGAGACAGTTTGAAAACTACGGCTGTATTTTACCCACTTGCTCAAAAACTACTGCTTGATGTTACACTTTTGCTTTTGTTTTAATTAAACCCCTTGGTTTTTTTCCCTCTGTTCTATAAAATGTCTGTGTGTGCTTTCCTGAAGCTAAATAATTGGTGATAGAAATGAATTTGCATGTAACTGGGACAAAGATACATTTTCCCTTGCAAATCAGAATATAAAAGAACAAAGAGTCCAGGTTGTCTGTGCAGAGTAGACATCTGGAGGCTGTTCAATCCAGTTTGAATAGGTTGCAATGTATTCATTTTAAGTTCTCCCCTTTTCTTCCCCCCTGCAGCCCATGTATGTTCTCAAAAGTCTGTGAATTTCAAGTAACGCTCTAAATAAAGGAGTGAAAGAAAAGTAGACAGCTTTTTTTTTTGTAAACAGAGTCTGAAGGATACCATGGAAAACTTTACAATGCCAGCATACCTTTAAGACAGGCAAGCGTGGAGAATTGGTTCCATTGCTTTGCAGCTGCTTTTTTATCTTTGGTTGAACAATGGAGGATCAGAAATGCTTTCTGCATTCACTTTTTTAGTAAAAAAGCATAATAATCCACATGGGACACTTTCCTCACAAATGACTTGCAGACCTTAAATCAGGAGGACTTCATATCCACAGTCTAAAAGCCTTTTCTTTGCACGTTTGTATCATACTGATAAAATGGTAGTTTTGGAATTATTTCTGTTTGTATTGAGCAGTTGCACAGGTTTCATATGTTGAAAAGCATGTACAGTATTTTCTTAATTTTAAGTTATAGCTCTTAATCCTTCCCCTTTACAAAGCTTAAATTCACCATTGATCTTCTTTCTATGTGCAATATACTGTCCACAGTGTCCTCAGCAATGATGAAAGTGACTTGCTTCTAACTAGCTTTGTTGCATCTGTAGTTACTGAATGGAAGGGGAGGGGGTCTGTTAACTGCCAGAACAAAGCCATTATGATTTTGCAAGGATAAGTGCAAACAGCCCCAAACTAATTGCTATATTTGGGCTATAATTCTAACACATGCTGCCCAGAGTTCAAAAGCTAAATTGGTTCTTCTTTCCATCCCTCCCCGTCCAAATTCTGTCCATTTCTCAGTCCAAGTGGGAAGAAATTCCGCAGCAAACCTCAGCTGGCCCGTTACTTGGGTAACTCCATGGACCTGAGCACGTTCGACTTCCGAACAGGGAAGATGCTAATGAGCAAGGTGAACAAAAACCGGCAAAGGATGCGCTATGACTGTTCAAGCCAAACCAAGGTGAGGCTGGTCTTTTTTTTTTTTCCCCTCTCTTTTTAAAAAAAATTGAATACCCTATTGACTATAGGGAGAGAGTTACAATTGAACTCTGAATGCACACGGTGATATGGCTTATTAAGTCTATTTACTTTTGTCAATGCTCTTTAATAACTTGTACTTGAAGCAGATAGCGTTTAAAATAGATTTCACATTAAAAATTCTGAAGTAACATCTCGGCAAATGGAAGACAAAAACATATCCTAGGTTCTTGATTCTAAACAAAATGTCTGGTTGAACCAAATGATCTTATTTTATATGTGTGTGCATTTTATTAAGCATTACAGTTAAACAGATAAAAATTAATACAAACTAGACAAAAGTAAACTTGCAAAAAAGCACCCAGAGAGAAAAATGGTGAGGTCAAGGAAAAAGGTATTTTCTGCTGTGCCCTCAGAGGTGAGGAAAGCCCCCAATCTCTTGCCTTTTGCAAAGGGGTCAAAACCTGGCTGTGTAGCCTTGCATGGGGGGGACATAGGAGCCCACATAGCCATGGGGTTGGTTGGCCCCTTGAGAACCTTCCCCCCCATATTAACAACTCATCTTGGAACTCTTTTTAATAATTGTTAATTATGTGGTTTTTAATGTTTTATTAAACTGATTAAATTGTATAGCACCCAGAGCCCCTCTATGAGGGAGATGGGCAGTTAAGAAGGTAGACAGACAGACAGAATAAAGAAAAGAAAAAGAAAAGAATTATAAAGAAATGCTTTGCTCTTTGTCACAACAATTATAAAGAATTTTAACAACCACTTTGTCTTAAAACGATCTCTTCATCTCTTTTAATCTATAAACAAATCCCTAAAACTTCATCATTCAGTCCTAGTCACCAAAAGTCTATTAAGGTTTACCAGAAAATAGATATGACAACATATCTATTTTAACCTTGATCAAATAAACCTACTGTATACTCTTTTTACTTTTAATAATCTTGGTATTTTAATCCCTTCAAATAGTGCCCTAGAGTTTTTTTACTTTTCATTTTTCTTTGTCTCTTCTCACTGAATCCTTAAGAACTTTAACAGGTCTCTTTTGTAAACCCAACATAAGAAAGTTGTTCTTTTGGTTTGTCATTTCTTTATCCCTTTTAATTGTTAAGATAGCAGTCAGTTTCATTTGTATACCTAGCGCAACATCTTTTTCCATATTCTTATATCCTGCCATTTTTAAATCTAAGACCCATCTCAGTCTGGTAAAACTTGTTCCTCTTCTAAAACATCTTTGAAAGATTATCAAAAATGATTAGGAAATAAGATTTGGCAGAACTTTGTCATCATAAGGCAACATTGTGGCGTTCAGCTTGGTGGAATCTCTTGATTCTCAGCTGTTCAACTCTCAAGCCATTAGTTTGCTTTTGAGGAGTGGCTGTCCAGAACGCACATGGGAATATATCTCACACTCCTTTATCCGGAGAGACTTGGCTGGTCAGAAATGTCTGGCTGCTGATCTCTATCTGCTCCTTCAGAGATGTCTAGTTTGCCATGAATCCTCATTGGAAGTTAAACAAATGGTAACAAGCTATGAACCAAAAGGGATGGATTGGGGAACTCCATTTTTAGATCTTTTGTGTAATTTACTATTCCTGGCCAAGTTACTATTTTATGACAAAGCATGAAGGGGAAACGTATATTCCCAGAATAGAAGTGAACATTAGCTGTTAAATTGGAAATTGAACCTACAATCCTCTGTACATGTAAGCAAATGCCACATCTAAGGTAGGGCTTTTCTCTCCTTGTCTAAGACGGCAGACTTTGCCCTCAATCATCAGTCAAACTGCATTGTCTGAACACTGTTGTTTTTCATAGACATGAATGTGCCACTTGCAGACTTAATTAACGGCACTAAACTTTGACTTCAGATATCGTGAATTAAGGCTCCTATTATTTATTTTTTAAACTTTATTTAGCACTTTCTATAGCTCTCCCACCTGTGTGTGGTGCATACAAGCAAACTGTGATATAGAATAACTGATCAATTAAAATTATTTTAAAAACCTGCACCAAAAATCATCATCATAATGGCAGTAACAAAAACAGATAACTGCTTATAATCACCCTAGAGATCAAAAGCTTGCTAAAATAAAATTATTTTAAGGCCTTCCTGATCACAGCTGATTGGATCTCCAATTATAAAATTAGAATTGAATCTTAGAAGTTAACTACTCCAACCTTCTACTCAGCGTAGGCTCCATTAGTGCACCAGCCTTATGTTCACAGACCTATATAGGTAGTCCTTGACGTATGACCACAAGGGCAAAATTTCTGTTGCTAAGCAAGGTAGTTGTTAAGTGAGTTTTGCCTCATTTTACAACATTTCTTGCCATAGTGGTTAAGTGAATCACCACAGTAACACAGTTGTTTGATGACTCTGACTCTCCCATTGATTTTGCTCATCAGAAGATTGCAAAAAGTGATCACATGACCCCAGGACACTGTAACTCTCATAAATACATCTTGGTTGCCAGGCATCTGAATTTTTATCATGTGACCATGGGGATGCTGCAACAGCCGTAAAGTGTGAAAAATGGACATAAGTGCATTTATGTCCATTGTTGTGCTGTTATAACTTTGAATTGTCACTGAACAAATGGTTTTCAGTTGAGAACTACCTGTACTGATTTGTAGCTTTTTATCACTCTAAAGTACATCAGAGTGTTGATATGACTTACGATTCCTGCCTGGGCAGGGGGTTGGACTAGAAGGCCTCCAAAGTCCCTTCCAACCCTGTTATTCTATTTTATTCTAATGATACATACATACTTTGACTCCTAAAGTTGCCTTATATGAAGACAAGCTGTTGATCTAAGGCCAAGATAGAATAGAATAGATTTTTTTTTATTGGCCAAGTGTGATTGGACACACAAGGAATTTGTCTTGGTGCATATGCTCTCAGTATACATAAAAGAAAAGATACGTCCATCAAGAATTATAAGGTACAACACTTAATGATAGTCATAGGGTACAAATAAGCAATCAGGAAACAATATTAATATAAATCGTATGGATACAAGCAACAAGGTTACAGTCATAAGTGGAAGGAGATGGGTGGTGGGAATACTTGGACTCCTAAAGTTGCCTTATATGAAGACAAGCTGTTGATCTAAGGCTGAACTAAGATGGGGCTAAAGAGCATTCTGTATGCTCTTATAAAAAGCTGTACGGTTTGGGAGGAAAAACAGATAGTTCATGATCAAGATAGATATGAAGGGAAAGCAACTTTTTCCTTCTGTTACATTCCTGACAAGAAAATTCTGTATTGCTGCCAATGGAGAAAATTCATTGTAGCCAAAAAAAAGTTCCTTTTGTTGAGTGATTTCTCCAGAATCACAATATAAGGAAAGGGTTATTTTACTTGTCATGTATCTTTTAAAAATCTGAAATTTATAAAGACATATTTAACTGCCAGTAGACTTTTAAGTTTTAGGAGTCTTGAAAATGTTTAGAATCAAACCACTTCAATTGCAAAATTGTCAGTTTGAACCATTTTGAAACTGTTTCAACTCAAAATCAAATCTTTGCTGTTAGAACATAGCTGTTTCTGGCTAAAAACACAGCCTATTCACAGCTGATTCTCATTTGAAACGGTATTTTGGATTAGAAACAATTTGATTCAAAACATTTTTGCATCATCACGAACTCCATAATGTTGTAGACTGGGATCTTAGTTAAATTTCAGAATGATTTTTTTTTTATTGCTCACTTCCTATCCTCTCAAATCTTTAGGGTAAACCTGATCTAAACACCACACTTCCTGTGAGGCAGACAGCTTCAATTTTTAAGCAACCAGTCACTAAGATCACAAATCATCCCAGCAATAAAGTGAAGACTGACCCCCAAAAAGCAGTTGACCAACCCCGACAGGTAAGGGGTGTGATTGAGAGGTGGGAGGTTTGCTCTGAAGTATTTTCCAAATGATCTCGTAGAATGCTAGACTGAGAAGCAGAAACCTCATCAAGGCTGAGCAGCAATATGAACCTTGATCTCTGCTTTAAAGTCCGTTTGCTTTCTCCATTATACCACACTAAGTTATTGTAATATTGTAAAAAGATTCCTGTTAAATCCACCTAATCCAGCATCTTATTTCAGGAGTGGTTAGCCAGATGTTGCAAGAATGTTTGCAAGGAATATAAATTGCCAGTCTACTCCCCCAATCTCTAGCAACTTTAAATTAGCTCTGAATTTGAAATTAACATTTCTGAATACTGAGAAGTTTCATTTTACTAGCACTTCATGAGCTTTAGATTATTTCCAACTATATCCCATAATCATGGGTTGCATGAAAGAACCTAGCTGAGGCAGGAAAAGATTGCTTCTTCCTTTTCAGATTAATCTGAAGTAAAATGTGAAACTTGTAGACCTTGGAGCTGCATGCAAGTTCCTTTTATACTTACACAATACCTTATCCCAAGTGGATGGGGCCACTATTGGCCCATTTTGCATAGTTTGGTATTTTGACTAGAGTTTAAAAGGGGGAAATCCTTGATACCCTCTATCAAGTTTGGTCTAGTGGTTAAGGCACCAGGCTAGAAAGCAAGAGAGGGTGAGTTCAAGTCCCGCCTTAACCATGAAAGTCAGTTGGGTGACCTTGGGCCAGTCACAGCCCAACTCATGTCACAGGGTTGTTGCAGTTAGAAAAATAGGAGGAGGAAGGTGTATTAGGTATGGTCACTGCCTTGAGATCTTTGTAAAAATAATAAAGCTATATGTGTGTGTTATGAATGAATGATTGGGTGAAGTTATATATATGATTCTAGCTTCATCCAGTCTTCAAGTGAAACTTTCAATAAAAATTATACACTCTTGTTTAAAATATTTGGGGAAATATGTTGCATACAGAAGATTAAATACCTGTCATATCTTGTCTAATAGAGAGCTGCAAAATTCATCAATCTGGGATGGGCCAATCTGGTAACTCAGAAAAATCCAATTTGTCTCCAAATTGTGAATGATGCAAGATGCTTTGGATAAAATAGGTGTTCAGCCAGAAATCCCAAGCCACTTCCAGTTCAGAAGCTACTGCTGAAATCTCCCATCCCACAAACTGACAATTTTTGCATACACCTATTCTACAGGTTTAAAAATATCTTGGATGGGAAGATTCATCTATCTTCTGAAAAGTCAGGGTAAAACCCAATGTTTCACAACATGGTACCCTCCAGATAACTTGGATTATATTATTTTCAATAATTATTCAGTTGGGCTTGTGCTGATGTGAGATGAAATCCAAAACATAAATCCTTCAGATTCTATCTTCCTCAGCTCTTGACAAGCAACTGTTCCATTCAGTTACAAAAATGTAAAAAATGGAAGCTGGGCCTTTCTATTTGTTCAAGCTGAAAGTTGTTTCCCCTCTCTGAGTTGTTTGCTTTCCAGCATTACAGTTAGTCACTGTAAGAACTTGTTCCTGAGTTAGCTTCATGCCCCAACTTTTCTCCCTTAGTCCCTTTGTAACGTGTCTTTTTAGATCAGGGGTGACAAACTATGGCCCTTTTATGACCTGTGGACGTCAACTTCCAGAATTCTTGAGCCAGCATGGCTGGCTCAGGAATTGTGGGAGCTAAAGTCCACAAATCATAAAAGGCCATAGTTCTCCACCTCTGTTTTAAATGATAAATCTGGGGACTGGGCATCATGTGTATGCCATTCAGGATCTTCAAAGCCACAGTGAGTTAAAGTGCTTTTACGCTGAATAACATTAGGAGGGATGCATACTGGGAAAGACTGGAATGAGATGTAAAAATTACATATTGCAGGTTTCTTAAAGATGTGTAACAGGAGAATCATAACTTTTCTTCCCCCTTCCTCCCCGCTGTTCCCCACCCCACTTTTTTTTTAAACAACAATTCATTGTTTTTATCTCTTTAGCTCTTCTGGGAAAAGAAACTAAGTGGCTTAAATGCCTTTGACATTGCAGAGGAGCTGGTGAAAACAATGGACCTTCCAAAGGGTTTGCAAGGTACTTTCAACAACTGTTGGTAGAGAGTGACCAGGTTCCTCGGATCATGAAGTTGATTATTTCATTGGGAATATTTTACATTCCACTTCTCCACTATCAAAAAATGTTCATGTTATGTTAAAAGTAATGATTTTTCAAATAAATGATCCAGTCATAAAAACAAATGCCCAGATAGATCAGATGAATAGAGCATTTTTAACACAATGCCATAAATATGTCTTTACTTGCTAGTTGCAAGAGTAAATCTTTTCCTAAGCTATTGTTCTGTCACATAGAAGGTTAATGTTTATGTCTGTCCATATATTCATTTCAGTAATGAAAGCTTTAAATCTCCCTCGTTCACAATCCTTGAATTGTGTTGAAGAGTTTCTAATAAAGAAAATATTTGTAGCTCGGGATTTAAATGAGGGTCCTTGGTGCTCTATGAGCTTAGTTGTTTTCCTTAGGCCATTTCATTACCCAAATGTCTGCAAGCAAACATCCAAGTTCAAGAGAGCACCAGGAATGCCTCATGAAGAGTTTCTGCCTAGAATCTCCTCTTTTGCCCCACCTTTTGTATAAATTGCTGTTTCCTAACCTCCATTTCAGAAGTGATCCAATCCTTTCAGATTCCAGTTTCCTTTCTTTCTGCACTTAGAGGTCTCATCATAACCAACTGCTTGAACTATTTGTTAAAAATACAAAATACATTTTTAAAAATCTCACTATTCGGGTGGGATGTGTATAAAATGAAATACTCATTTTGCGCCCCTTTATCCTTGGGGGGGGGGAGAAAATGGAACAAGGAAAGGGAACTTGCTGATTTTCAGTCTGCTGAAAAGGGAGACCACAGGAAGGAGCTTAATTCTATCTCTTCTCCTAGAAGGCACAGGGCTTAAACTGTTTGGAGGCTAATCCTGCCTTCATATTGTTAGCTCTGCCTTCTGTAAAGGAGGAAAGGCTTTCCCCCTTAGTTGCGTTTCTAAGCCAAGAGGTTAAGAAGTAAAGGAAGAAGAATTTTTTACCAAAAAAAAAAGTCTTAAAGAAGCTTTAGCTATGGAGTAGGGATTTAAGTTTGAATCTCAGCTCACCATTCTAGCTAGTGTCTGATACTGCTATCAGGATATCATGGAGTATAATTTGTGCCTTAAACATGATCATGCTGATCAGTAGGAATTTTGTAATAGTATTAGCAAAAAAAGACAATCATTTATTAACTGTTATCGTGCTGTACCTCTTTAGGTGTGGGACCTGGATGTACTGATGAGACACTCCTTTCAGCCATTGCCAGTGCCTTGCATACCAGCACAATGCCCATCACTGGACAGCTTTCTGCTGCTGTTGAGAAAAACCCCGGGGTCTGGCTGAACACTTCTCAGCCTCTCTGCAAAGCCTTCATGGTGACTGATGAAGACATCAGGTAATGAAACCTGACTCCCAGGGCAGGAGGTGAATTTCTCCCCCTGGTGTTTTACGTAGTACCAGAATTTGTTAGATGCTTAAAAACATCTATGTTTCTGTCCTCCTCAAAAGAAAATTAAATTGTTGTAATATGTAATATGGAACACATTAACTGCCTACAGTGGGGCCTGAGCATTCCCTCTCAGTCTAATTCACAAGCAGGACTACAAATATTTGATGTTGTTTCCAGCAAGAGCAGATAATCTCTGTGCCCAGCTCCTCCTCCCCCTGTTCTAGAAAGCACACAAGACTACCACAACTTCAGCCTGACCACAATTTGGTCAATTGAGATCTCTTTTCTTCTACAGTGGTACTTCATCGTTAATTGGTTCCAGAAGGCATGACAAGTACTAAAAAAATGATGAGTGCCAAACAAAGGATGTGATTTACCACATGACCCTTTGGTTTCGGCCAGGAAGGATTTCTGTCTGTCCCTTTTCCTACATCAGTGACCTTCCCAGCATGGCCAACTTCCTATCTGCCCTCCCTGGCCGTCCCCCTCTCTTTTGCAGCAGGCTTCCTAGCAAGGCTGCCTTCTTGTCCATTCTCCGTAGCTGTCCCCCTTTTCCTATTGCAGCACACCAAGTACCAAACAAATGAGTCCTGGGACAACATTTTTGTGTAAAAATGCATTGAATACTAAATTTGATGAGTTTTGAAGCTGTCAAATACTGAGCTACTTAGTGGAGAGGGGGGGCGTTCCCCCATAAATTTGGTAGGGGATTCATGACCAGCAAGCTCACTAACAGCATTTGGGAAACAGTGAAGGAATTCTCTAAGTGCTAAGGGCAAGTAAGTATGCCAGCATCTAGCAGTGCAACAGTATGCTCTGACCACATACTGCATGACTCAGAAAGAAATCTGATAAGTGCTATGGCAGCCACAAAGCTGCTTGTAGTCACAATGTAATAGCCTACATTGTAACCTACATTGTTGATCTCCAGAATACATATGTAATAGCTGGATGACTTGCTGATTTCACCCCCACCAGTCAAATAGGAAACAGAATGGACAGATCTGAGATTTTGGTTGGTAGGGAAGAGAATCCCCAAACACAACACCCGGGTATCATTCTTATACAAAAGAGAGCCCACATCAGTGGTGAGAAGGAAGTCTGTACTATTGACAACTTACAGAAGTTCTTTAGTTCAGCTGCCCACTTTTCATAAATCTCACAAGTCTCCAGGGCTAGATGATTACCTACACAGATTCAGTAGACTCACTTTGTGCTTTTTTGCCTGTTCGTTCTCATTCCTGTCCTGGGAAGAAATTAAGAAAGGAAGCACTGCCTATTCAACCTTGAATTACTGAAATGAAACATGGGATATAAAAGTGATCCTGTTATTCTTTGACAATTTACCTCTTCCCTAATAGCAGGGTTTCGCCGCTTATATCTGCTGCATGCGACATAGGAATAGCTACAACATGTGCTGGGGGTATTTATTTACCTATTTTTTTCTCTCTCCAGGAAGCAAGAAGAGCTGGTTCAGCAAGTGAGGAAGAGGCTAGAGGAGGCCTTGATGGCCGACATGCTTGCTCACGTGGAAGAGATAGCCAGGGATGGTGAGACACCTGCAGTAAAGGGTAATGAAGAAGAGGAGGAGGAGGAGGAGGAAGATGGTGATCGTGTACAGGAGATGGAGAATGTATAGTCCAGGTAGCTCATTTCCACATTAATACCTTTTCCCCATCACCCATGGGGTTGCAGTGCCGTGTTGATGTTTTTCCCAACCCTTGAAGAGGTTCAGCGTTTCAAAGTGTCTTTATCCTACATTTCTTTATATTTATTACCAAGCTCAATATTTGGGATGAAGGATAGCATTTTTCAAGATTTTAAGAAAATACTTTTCCAAAATATTTCTTCCATTTCTGTTTTAACTAGAAGGGACTTGAAGTGGGGATTAGATGGTATTCTTGGCAGGTTCTTGGTTCTGAAGCCAAGTTGCCTGGGCCTGTTTTTTGAATGGAGTGGCTATACTCTTGACCTCTCCCGAATGTTGAATAGCAAGTACACATGAATCTTCAGAATAGGAAAACATTTCTTGGGATTATTTGGCAAGCCACCCATTCCCCATAGTCACAGCCAGCGGTCTTTATCTTGCTACATGCTTGCCTGGCAGGCTCTTCTTCACCATTATGCTCATAGAATCATAGGGTTGGAAGGGGCTTTGGAGGTCTCCTAGCCCAACCCCCTACCCAAGTTAGGAATCTTATTATTCGCTCTCCCACCCCATCCCTGGGTACCTTTTGGAGCCATATCTTCCATGCTTTGTAGCTGATCAAGTGTCTCTTTTCCTTCAGGGTGTTTTTTTCAAGACCTAGCCTGCACTTGGTCAACACAGAGGCAAGTGCATCTTCAGAATGCTGTGCACTAACTGTATCTGCGTGTGTGAACGTGTTTGGCTTCAGTTCACAAGAAGCTGAAGGGACCAGTCAGACTGAGTAGTTTGAAGAAGAATTTGCTGAGCTCAGTTTTTTCTTTCCTCTGCCCCCTCATTTTTCTCTTAAAAAGTATCACAGGGCAATAGAGGAATCAAAAAAGTTATTCATGAATTGTGAGCATAATCCCTTTGTCTCATTTCCAGTCTAACAGTTGAAACAGGTTTCCCAAGTCTCTTTTCTAATAGTGTCTGTACATGCCCTAAACGAATTGGCTTAGCCCAGAGATGCCAGGAAGAAATTCTTTTTAAGTTTTCTCTACATATTTGAAGTCCCATATAACAAAATAGTTTTGGTGGCATAGGTAAACTATTCCACTTGTAAAATCTTGCTGTGGGATTTTCATTTTCTTATCTGATTGTTTAATTTGGGTTAATTTTATTTGCTTTAAAAAAAAAACCTCCCATCAACAGAACGTGCCTTTCCATGTGGACTGGGAAACTGATCGCCCGAAGCTATACAGATCCACATTGTGATCAAAATCCCCTTCTTCTGCATGAATATAATATGACATAGAACTATAATTCATGCAGGGCTTTATGAGCACAAACCATTGTGGAAAGAATATTAAATGATGACAATAATTGCCCAATCAGAGAAAGTGTAACCAAAAGGTGCTGTGTGAGTTTTTTGCAACTATTTGAAAGAAAGGATTACTTAGTGCTATTGATCTCCTTGTTTTATAATTGCTTGGGGGGGGGTGCCTTTGTCTCATATAATTAAATGCTTTTCAGAAGTAGTAATATTAGATTGCTAACATAGTTAAGGAGAAGCAAATAAAACAGGCCAGTTGTGAATGACACAGAATTTGCCTTAATTAATTCCACCTCAGCTGGGATTGGGTTACTAGAAACATAAATACCATCTTTGCTCTTGCTTGCTTCCTAATGCATACTGTCTCTTAAAAAACTCTCATCAACACGATGCTAAATTTTCAGTGCTGGATTTTAAATTTCAGGATTAGATGACAGTACTACATCTCTTTAAAAAAAAAAAAAAGCACCAGGGCTGATGGAAACCCTCTTCATGAATCCTGGTTAGATTTTACGTATTTTGGAATTGTGGGGTATATCTTCCTTTTTTAATTCCCAAAGTTAGAAATGTGATCTTGGGCCTAATATAGCTCTTTTCATTTTGGACTTACAAAAGCAATTCAGGATTTTGGTCCAGTAGTTTCTATTTAATTGTTTTCAGATTTTTGAGTATTGGTTGAAATCCATCATGTATATTTCTCTTCTGCTCTTGCATGCACATAAGAGTTAGTCCCTGCTTGGTTTCTTTTCTTTGCTTATTTGGAGCAAACCTCTCGGCATATAGAAATGTCATAAATTATTGCTTTAAGCTTTTTATGCTGCAAAATCATGTTGCGTGCTTAAGTCGTGCTAGAATGAAGCTGCAACTAGTACGCAATTGTATAAAAGCCCTGTTGAAAAGGAAATGCAGTCTGGCTATCTTCACAGCATCTTCAAGCCAGATTGATGCATTTATTTCCTTTTTGACCCATGATTTGATAGTGTGGTGTTCATTAACAAGAATTTAGAAAATTCTTCAATCCTTTGTCTTTTAAATACACACTCATCACCACTGTCGCCACCTTACCACTGATATGTACCTTAATTGTAACAGTATCTTAATGTACAGTCTTGTTGGGGAATATTAGTTTTGTAATAAAATGTTTTTCATACATTTAATTTTTCATGCATTTAATGTTTTTGAGAAAATATAGTGAAATATGAATAGCATAATTAATGTATAATATTACTCCCAATCATAGACCCGGAAAAGAGGTGAAGTTAAAAAAAATGTATGTAGCAGTCATAATGGAAGAGATTCAAAGCAGGCAAGAGAGTGCTATAGGGGTTTAAGAATTTCTGGGTTAGGTAATGATGGTCATTAGATTAGATGACTGGTTGAGATCTAGTATTTCTGTCTTTATGAGTAAAGGAAGTCCACTAAATTGTTGTATGGAAACAACAAGAGAATGAAAGTTTTGGTTTTTATTCCCTACTTGGGAGTATTTTAGAACCCCAAATGGTCAGATTCTTCCCTACAGGGCAACATTACAATTGTGGTTAGCTTTTTTTAAAAAAATGTAAATAAAAAAAGAATAGAGAGCCAGTTTGGTTAAGGCACCAGGCTAGAAGCCAGGAAAGCATGAGTTCTGCCATGGTCACAAAGCCAGTTGGGTGACCCTGGGCCAATCCCTTTCTCAGTCTTTAAAAAAAGACATTTAAAAACTTGGCAAACTACTTTCAAAAACTTGCAAAGAAAGCTGCAGGAACCTGTCCAGTCACCAGGAATGATCACTCAAAAAAAGCATAACTAATGTATAAAATGAATGCTTGCCAATGGCTTCTGTTCAGACAGGATGGCCAGTTGTGACAGAAATATATTTCCAGGCTCAGCAAACTTATTAATATTTGCAGGGAAGCCTGAATTGGGTGAAGCCATTTTACCATATTTTGTTTAAGGGCTTCTCATAATCAAGTAACTAGGAATTAATAGGTTGCTAGTCTGATCAGCATTGCTAAGGTGCAAGAAAAACAACTATTTCTGAAAACTGCTGTAAGCCATAGGGTTGAAGTTGCCCAGTGAAAAAGTTGGAGAGTAGGGATAAAAGATGTAACTTCTTAAAGTGGAAGGGGGGGCTTTCTTATCCAGCAAATTAAGGAATATGTGACATAGGTTTTCCTGCTTGAATGCTGATCATGAATATCTCCATATGAAATCACATGAAAATATTAATAAAAAGGACTAGATGCTTATTCATAACAAGCATTTTCAGGTTCAAAGCACTTCCTTCACTTACATAGGAGGAGGAGACTAATCTTCATTGCTGATAATTTTGCCTGTTAACAGGGCCTAAAAGAGTAAGTTTTGGTAACATTCAGGCTTGGATCTATATCAACGTTTCCTGATAACTGGAGTAGTGCCACCTGTGTGCCAACGTTTATAGAGCTATTATCACAAAATGGAAAATCTGATTTTTTTTTTCAGTATCTGAAATATTTAGGGAAGGGAGATCAGTTATAATGACAAGCTCATAGCCCTGTAGCCCATTTAAGATCTCCATCAATAATCACTGTACACAACTCCAGGCTTGGTCAAGCAGCAATGGACAAGAGTTAGATCAGCTAACTCCACTGATCAAGGATGTGCTCAGTTGAATATGGCAGCAAACGAGTTACATCTCTCATCCCAAACTCTACAAGGGGCTTAGTTCATGCATGGCATTAGTACCTCTTTTATTAAGTTGCAACCGGCTGGATCATAATCCCATTGAAAAAATTGCATTGGTTAGATTATTTATTGGTTAGAGCTACACACACAAGTGTCAGACACATTAAACCTTCCTGTTTGCTTAACCTAAATGCATGTGCCAGACCCTCCCTCCTTTCCTTCATAGTTCCTAGATACAATCTCGCCTGAATCCTGACCAGCCAGTACTTTTCATTTACTCAAGTGGAAATGGCAATTGCTCTGATTCTGAATGATACATTTAATCTTTTAAAAGCTGCCTGTAGTAAAGTATGTAGTAAGAAAGTAGCATTCATATTAGCCAGCCAGTGGCTTACTCTGCACAAAAGTGTTCTATATTTTAGGGATGTGTAAATTCACCCACAGTATAACCCAAAGCAGGCGTACATGTCCAAAAGGATTTTGAACAATGAAACTAATAGATTTAGCTTCCTTCCTTCCTTGGTGCTGGAGATATCCTGCATATCAATCCCCAGATGTCAGTGTTTCTCAACTTTGGCAGCTTTGACATATGTGGACTTCCCACTCTCAGAATTCCCTAGCCAGCATACCTGGGAGTTGCAGTCCACATATCTTAAAGCTGCCAAAGTTGAGAAGCACTGACCTATGTTGACTGGAGAATATCGGGATCAGCCTGTAGGAAGCACCAGGTTGGAGAAGTATACTTTATGTTAGAATCCACACCTTGTGTTAAATCAAAATTTGTCAAGTACTGACAATATTTGGTTCACTTGTACTAAACCATTTATTTATTTATTTATTTATTTAGCATATGGCAAATACATGGACTTTTAGTAGTTCAAATGTTAATGTCCAGTCCACCCAGCCATTCAAGGATAGGGTGGTCTATGTTGAAAAAAATCTGACATTGAGCTGGTGTAAGGTCTTGATGGATAAACCATTAATGATTGGTTATGACTGTGACCCTCTTCAGAGAAAATGGTCCTTGCAAAATGAATGTCTGAAGACTGGCAAATGCTTATAGAATCCATTTCACCCTTTTAAAGATACAAGCGTCTCTTCCCCCCATCAGCTGACATCGACAAAAAGTTATTCCAACATCTTTGGCACAGAAGATACTGACCCTCATTTTATCTGGAGACTATGATTTTGCCTTTCAGGTACTGTCTTTCAACAAAGGAGAACAGTAGGAAGGCTGTAAGAAATGGAAGCGATAACAGATTTTATTTTCTTGGGCTCCAAGATGACTGCAGTCAAGAAAATAAAACACTTGCTCCTTGGGAGGAAATCCATGGTAAACTTAGACAGCATATTAAAAAGCAAAGGCATCACCTTGCTGACCACGTCTGTACAGACAAAGCTACAGTGATGCATGGTTGTGAGAGTTGGACCATAAGGAAGGCAGAGCATCGAAGAATTGATGCTTTCAAATTGTGGTGCCTGAGAAGTCCCTTGAGAGTCCCTTGAACTGCAGGGAGATCAAATAACCCTAACCCTAAAGGAAACCAACCCTGACGGTTCTTTGGAAGGACAGATACTGAAGCTGAAGCTCAAATACTTTGGCCACCTAACGAGAAGAAAAGACTTCTTAGAAAAGACCCTGGTGTTGGATAAGATGGAAGCAAAAGGAGAAGGGAACTACAGAGCACGGCATGGTTGGATAATGTTATCAACACAATGAACATGAATGTGGACAAACTGGGAGACAATGGAGGACGGGGTGCCTCATGTCATGGTCCATGAGGTCCCAAAGAGTCGGACATGACCTAGTGATTGAACAAGAGCAACAAGGAGGCTGTCTTCCTTATAAATTGGACTTAAAGCAGGCTGATGTGATAAGGGGATGTTCCAGATTCACTTACCTTCCCTACTGGTTCGCAAATGTGAGGGCATGTGTGCTCTGTACATGCGCACGGCCTTCTGCGCATGCGCAGTAGTCATGCATTACGTCTGGGCGGTTGAGTGGAGCCTCCCGCAGTTACCGCTACTGGTTCGCGCAATCTGGAGGGAACCGGCTGAATCCCACCACTGGGATGTTCGTACTTAGTCTGTAAACATTTTGTTCTATAACTGTGATGGCGAATCTATGACACATGTGCCACAGATGGCATGCGGAGCCATATCTGGGCACGTGAGCATTGCCTTAGCTCAGCTCCAGCATGCATGCCAGTTAATTTTCGGGCCTTCCGAGCACACCGGAAGTCAGGAAACGGGCTGTTTCCGGCCTCCGGGGTTGGTGGGGAAGGCCATTTTCACCCTCCCCAGGCTCCAAGAAAGCCTCTGGAGCCTGGGGAGGGCAAAAAAACAGGCCTACCGGACCCACCGTGCCATCACATGCCAAAAGCAGGGGGAGCGTAAGGGGGTCACGCGTGCATGCGCAGGGGGGCGGGGTGCATTGAATTATTGGTGTGGGCACATGGCATGCGACAGTACAAAGGTTAGCCATCACTGTTCTATAATGTGGGTGGAGAGGAACCGGGGGTGGGTGGGTTTTACAGTCAATATCGTGAAAAGATGCAATTTGCCACAGGTAAATAAACTTGTATCAAATTTATCAAGTTACTATCTGGCTTTCAGGACTGAAAGAATATATGAACATCGCTCGTCTTGTAATCGTCTTCCAAAGCATCAAGATGACAAAAATATTCAACAAATTATACCCATTGTGTAAAATAATATACAGCTAGTCCTCAAATTATGAACAGAAGTGGGACCAGAATTTCTGTTGCTAAGCAAGGTCCTTGTTAAGTTCATTACCTCCAATTTTAGGACCCTTTTTGCCATGGCTGTAAAGCAAATCACTGCAGTTGATGAGCAAATCGTGTTTGAGGTCGTCAAAGAAATCTAGCTCCCCCATTGACTTTGCCTATTGGAAGGTCACAGAAGGAATCATGGGTCCCCAGAACGTTGCAACCATTGTAAATGCAGTATATCACAGAAGTGAGTACACCCCCTCATATTTTGTAAATATTTAAGTATATCTTTTCATGTGACAACACTGAAGAAATGACACTTGGCTACAATGTAGTGAGTGTACAGCTTGTATAACAGTGTAAATGTGCTGTCCTCTCAAAATAACACAACACACAGCCATTAATGTCTAAACTGCTAGCCACAAAAGTGAGTACACCCCTAAGTGATAATGTCCAAATGGGGCCCAAGCAGCAGTTTTCCCTTCCTGGTGTCATGTGACTCATTAGTGTTACAAGGTGTGAATTCAGGTGTGAAGGGGGAGCAGGTGTGTTAAATTTGGTGTTATTGCGCTCTCCAACTGGTCAATGGAAGTTCAACACGGCACCTCATGGCAATGAACTCTGAGAATCTGAAAAAACGAATTGTTGCTCTACATAAAGATGGCCTACGCTATAAGAAGATTGCCAAGACCCTGAAACTGAGCTGCAGCATGGTGGCCAAGATGATACAGCGGTTTAACAGGACAGGTTCCACTCAGAACAGGCCTCGCCATG